CACACAGGGACTTCCCCGCAAACAGCCATAAGGTGAACGAGTGATTTATGATTGTTGGCCAGGACACTGGGATGAGAGAAACTCCCTTTGCTTTTTCAATAATGTTGTGAGATCTTTAACGTCCACCTGAACAGGCAGACGGGACCTCAGTTTAACCTCTTGCCTTTCGGGGGGTAGGGGCGGGGCGGTGGGAGAACGTGTCGATCAGTGAATGTTCGGTGACACGCTGCGCCACTACACACCTATCTTGACGCAGCCGCGGAGCTGTCAGCACACATGTGTTAGCCTGTGTCCGCTCAGGAGGCCCTACCTTGCTCCGTGTCCCCCGCCCTTTGGAACTCCATCCTGCAGTCCCTTCACCTCACCCCTTCCCTTGCCGTCTTCCGGGCATGTCTCAAGACCCTCCTTTTCGACCTCGCCTTTCGTCACCCTCCTTCCCCCACCCTCCGAGCCCTCCAACCCTCTTGATCCCAACCCCCAGCTCGGGTGCAAATCCTTGGCTGTGCAATTAATCCTGTTTTCCCATCCTTTTTCCTTGTTACGGGAGCTGTGCTAGTGTCCCGCGGAAGCCTATGTTTGTCAGGACGCCAGCCAAACCTCCCAGCTACTGGGATCAGGCCTTGTTCAAAAACCTCTCATCGCGTACAGTTACAGATGTGCACATTTAAAGCGATTTTATGCAGCTGTTTGTGTCAGCTCTGCTTGCTGAGTCAGTAGCACTCTTCGCTCCCATCAGGAGGTCTTGGGTTCAAGCTCGGGTCTGGGGACTTTGAGCTCCACGGGAGCTCTCTCCCCTAATCCCTGCTCTCTCGCCATCGTGTCTGTGCTGGTGCTCGCTCCCCCGTTGGAGCTCTCTACTCTAATCCCATTCCCTGCTCTCTCCCAATCGAGAGTCAGGAGGAGGGTACACAGAGCTGCTCTGCCAGTTTATCAGATATTTTTAATACAATTTAATTGTTTACCACACACACCCCCCACCCTGTTATTTTGAGACATTCCAATGAATCCCGTCAATGAATGAATTAATTCTGCCACTGTCGAGCAGTCTGGGACGCCACCCTGCGAGAGGAGCACTATATAAATGCAAGTTGTTGTTGTTGTCTCTATGGGCTTGTGTCCGCGCTCTCCACCTCATCTGTGTTGGCTGATCTCATTGCCCTGGCTCTTACTTCCGAGATTTCCCATCTCTCTCTCTCTCTCCCCCTCTCCCCTCTCCCCTTTCCTCGCTCGTCAGTCACCTCATGTTAAGGGGCTGTGTGTGTTACGTGGTCTCAGCCTGGCTGGCAGCACGGAGCTTTCCCTGTGGACTGGAGTGCAGCGGAGGTCTGAGCTGATTTGGCAGGCCAGGCCGGAATTGGCCAGGCTCTCAGCTCCGCACTCTCTGCAAACGGGGAATGGGATTAATTGGTAACTGACTGCAGTGCAACGTGAGACTGGTTTGTCTCCGCTTCCCACAACGTGGCCTGTGCTGTTTACTATCAGATTCCAGCGAGGTTTCCATGTGGCCAGGGGGTGAGGGAGGTGCAAGGTCTAAATGGCTATAAAAATGCCAAGACATCGGCTGCGTATTATAACAATAATAGCATTGTGTACCCGTAGAGCAGTGGTTAGTGCGCTCACTTCCCAAGAGAGAGGACCCAGGTTCGATTCCCGAGCAGCGTGAAACCTGCGGCAAGTTTCCTTACTCCACACGTGCCTGTTTACCTATCAGTAAGTAGGAACCCAGTTTTGGTCGATTGGCGGATCACTTTCTGGTGGTAATAATCCCTCCAAACAAATATTAGGTTATTCAATCCACGACTGTTGTGCGTAATTGGCTGCCACTTTTCGCCCACAAGATGCACAGTCACTCCTAAGTGGTCCAGGACGCAACACAGTCAACGGGATCTTTAGCATACTGAACCAGCAGATGTGGCCTTGGTTTAACATCTCATCTGAAGGACAGCACCTCCGACAATGCCACAACCGCCCCCCCCCCTCCCCACCTCCAGTGCTGCATTGGAGCGTCAGCTCAGACTATGTGAAGTCCTGTCTTGAATCCACAACTTTCTCACTCAGAGGCGCGAGCGTAACCAGGCAGATTATCCAAGATAATAAGAATAAGAATAATCCTTGCAGTTGATATATCAAAGCGCTTCACAGAATATACTGTTAAGTGGATTTACTCTGTATCTTGTGGGAGAAACGCGGCAGCCAATTGCGCACATTAATATCCCACAAACATTCGTGGATTGAGTGAGCACATTTTTTTTTGAGGAATTATTACCCCGGCAATCGACAAACAAACCTCTGCGACAGTCTCCAGTCCAGTTCCTGAGCCAGGTGGGTCCGCAGTGTTCCAGGGCACTGCGGATGACAGCACAGCACAGCCCAGCCCGGCTCATCAGCAGGACTTGGAAGGCCAGACCAGCCACTGGGATCAGGGAATCAACCCATTCAGCTCCTGTTAACCCTACAAGCCAAAACCCTAATGAGGAGGGTGGTCCGAGCTGGACAAGCAGGGGAAGAGCTTGACAGACAATGCTCTCAAAGGCCAGCTATGCAGGTTTTAGCTGGTTAGACTCCCAACGGTTATCCACAACGTACACTCTGGGGACCACAAGCCTTGGCTCTTGCCAACCTGCGCCTAATACTTTCTGGTATTAGGTGAGCAGGATGTGTCCCTCCAGGGAGAGAGAGTTGCGGATTCCATTCCAACCATCTATCTCTGGGATTTCCACGTGTAGGTCGGATGCATGGAATTCTCAGTTTGGTTTGGATACTCTTAAGCACGGTGATGGGTTTCTGCGTGTGTCAGACACCCCGGCTGGGCAAAGAAAAATCCACATGGGTCTTGTGTATACTCTAGAGATATGCGTACAAAGGACTTTTGTCCACACAGAAACGACACAGCAAATATCTCCTGTGCATACACAAGTCCCGAGTACTCAGGAAGTATGTGTACTGGGGACCAGTGCATACACAGGCGATATTTGCAAGCAGGAGATATGTGTACACGGGACCCGTGTGTACACAGCCTCAGCAAAGTTCATTGTGAAGCTTCATTGAGTTTCTGGGTTAATCACGGACTGGGTGCCAAACGTCAGCCTTGAGAGTCAGATCCTGGTTGTGAGAAAGAACGTGTGTGTGTGTGTGTGTGTGGGCTCATTGCTGTTAGTTACAGAGATCACACACACACACTGGATATCACAGCTCTGCTTGAGATCAGTGCTTTTCATTGACACAATATCAACACGGCCTGTCTGTCTCTCTCATTGTCAGTCTCCCTCCCTCTCTCTTTCTCTCAGGCTCTCCCCCAACCCCCCCACCACTCCTCTGCGTTACGGATGTGCATGGTTGAATCTTACCCTCTTGAAATGACAGCTGTCAGCCTGACCACTGGCCCTTGTAACGACCATCCCACCTCAGTATCCAAACAGCGGCCCGTTAGACAGAACTGGTGGGGAGGAGTGGCGGGGGGGGGCGTGAGAGCAATCTCTGGATGCCGTGTGTATGTGTGTGAGTGCGCGTATGTGCGTGTGTGAATGCACACCGATGAGCATGTGTGTGTGTGTTTGTTTGTATGCGTGTGTTTGTGTGTGTATATGAATCTGTGTGCGAGTGCGTGTTTGTGTGTGTATGTATGAGTGCGTGTTTGTGTGAGTGCGTGTTTGTGTGAGTGCGTGTGTGAATGTATTTATTTGTGTGAGTGTGTGTTTGTGTGAGTGTGTGTGTGTTTGTGTGAGTGCGTGTGTTTGTGTGAGTGTGTGTGTACATGTTTGTGTGAGTGTGTGTGTTTGTGTGAGTGTGTGTGTGAGTGTGTATGTTTATGTGAGTGCATGTGTTTGTGTGTGTATGTATTTATTTGTGTGAGTGTGTGTGTTTGTGTGAGTGTGTGTGTGTTTGTGTGAGTGTGTATGTATTTGTTTGTGTGACTGTGTGTTTGTGTGAGTGTGTGTGTGTATATTTGTGTGTTTGTGTGAGTGCGTGTGTTTGTGTGAGTGTGTATGTATTTGTTTGTGTGAGTGTGTTTGTGTGAGTGTGTGTTTGTGTGAGTGTGTGTTTGTGTGAGTGTGTGTATGTTTGTGTGTCTGTGTGTGGGGGGGGGGTTGTTAATATTGGCTGGATGACACGAACACAGAGGTGGTGGCTGTGTGATGTGCCTGAGAGGCTGGTGAGGAACAGCCAGTAATTACTGTGCGAATCCTCCACTCTGTTCTCACCGAGTGATAACAGACGTATTTAACCCATTTGTGACCGTTACCCTCCGGTCAGCACGGCACGGTGCTGGCTCACCCCCTCCCTCGCTGACATTCGCTATCTCTGCCCAACAGAAGAGACATTAACCTGAGGATTGTGGCCTTTCAGGTGGACAATAAACATTCTATTGGCACAGGGAAGTGAGTTTCTCTGGGTGTCCTGGCCAACAAAGGCTCAGATTAAATCGCTAAGTTACATCGGGGCTGTGTGTGTGTGTGTGTGTGTGTGTGGCAGCCCGCTGTGTGCAAATTGGCTGCGGCGTTTGCCCACAAAATACACAGTCATTTGACAGTGATTCTCTGAGAGATGCTGTGTATGAAATGCTGTGGGTGAGATGCTATAATTGAGATGCTGTGTATGTGAGACACTGAGTGTGAGACGCTTGTGTGAGAGGAGCTGTGTGTGAGAGAGGGTGTGTGTCAGACTCTCTGTGTGAGACGCTATACTACAGATGGGGTTTGGTCAGTCACGGTGGTGTGACAAGACCGGAGCAGGCCTGTGTGTGTGTGTGTGTCATGTTTCGTTTGTGTGTCATTCTCTGTCCGTCTGTCGGTCGATCGATTGGACTGTCTGTCTGTCTGTGTCCTCCCCTCCCCGACTCCCAGTTAGCTGCTGGGCTCTCTCTGATATTCTATGTTGTTCTGTGTGAACATGAGCTATGAGCGCACAGTCACCACGCTAGTCAGTGATTGTGTGAAACGGCTTTGTGGTTGCTCTATGACCTCGGTGTGTTAATAACATCAGCCCCTCTCTCTCCCCAGTTCTCAGGGATGATTTCCGGCAGAACCCGGCCGACGTGATGGTGGCAGCGGGGGAGCCAGCAGTGATGGAGTGCCAGCCTCCCCGCGGGCATCCAGAGCCTACCATCTCCTGGCGCAAGGACAGCAGCCCCCTGGGCGACAGAGACGAGAGGATCACGGTAACACCTCAAATCATCTGCCTTCTCCCGCCGTGTCTCTCCTCACGAACCGTCACAGGGTCGGATTAAGCCCTAATGGGTAGGGTGCTCCGAGCTGGATGTGCAGCGGTAAAGCTTGCCAGACAGTACTCTCTCTCTCAATGGCAAACTATGCGGTTTTAGCTGGTTAGACTCCAGAAGTTACCCCCAACTCACACTCTGGGGTCCCCCAAGCCTAGGCTCTTGTCAACCTGCTCCTAATACTTTCTGGAATTCGGTAAGCAGGATGTGTCCCTCCGGGGAGAGAGTGCGCATTCCATTCTTCGGGAATTTCCATGCGCGGGTGGGATGCATGGAAATCTCAGCTTGGTTTGGAAACTCTTAAGCACGGTGATGGGTTTCCACATGTGTCAGACACCCAATTGACCCCCAATGCTGTCAGCTTGGCTCAGTGGTAGTGCTCTCGCCTCTGAGTCAGAAGGTTGTAGGCTTAAGCCCCCACGTCAGGACTTGGAGTCATATAGTCTGATGCTCCAATGCAGTGCTGGGAGTGTGTTTCATTGTCAGAGATGCCGTCTTCCTGTTCAGGTGGAAGGTAAAGATCTCATGGCACTATTCAAAGAGAGGAGGGAGTTTGTCTCTAGCGGTGTCCTGGGCAACAATCCCCCAAATAAAATTGGTCACTCGTTCTATGGCTATTTGTGGGACTTTGCTGCACTTTACAATATATCCTGTGAAGCGCTTTGAGAAGTCCTTCTGACGTGATAAGGCGCTATTTCAAATGTAAGGATTATTATTATTATTATACTAGTACTTGCATTTGATACAGCGTCTTATCAGATCGTTGAGAAGTCCCAAAGCACTTGACAGGATACACTGTAAAGCGAATTGACTGTGTACTTCGTGGGTGAAACGCGACAGCCAATTAATTGCGCATGGCAGTGTCCCACAAACAGCTGTGGAGTGAGTGAGCAGATTTTATTTGGGAAATTGTTAGCCAGGACACCGGGAGAGAGAAACTCCTTTCTCTTTTCCAATAGTGCCACGGCATCTTTAACGTCCACAATTCACGGTCCAGGCTGCCGCTCCAGAGCGGTGCTGGGGGGAGGAAGCATTATTGGACGCTTCAGGTGAGACATTAAACCGAGGTCCCGTCTGTGCCTGTTCAGGTGGACGTTAAAGATCCTATTGGGAAAAAGCAGGGAGTTTCTCTCCCGGTGTCCTGGACCCCGAGGCAGGCTGCTAACCAGGGATAGGAGCAGTGTGACTGTGGAGTCACTGCCAGGCTCACTGTGTGCTGACTCCCTGCACCGCTCCCATTCTTCCTGGCCACCCGCCAGCTTCCAGACACACTTCAAAGCCCCCCGCGTTGGGGGTCGGGCTGGTGATTCCCCCAGTTGCTGAATCGCTTGGTCTGTTTGGCTGGTTATAATGACTGGATCTCGTCAATATGTAATTAGTGCAATGTTTGATCCCAGATTAGGCCTCTCTCGCTCTCAGTCTCACCTGCTCTCTCTGTCTCCTCTGTTTCCTTTTATTTATTTCTCTATATCGCCTCTCTCACTCACTCTCTCTCTGGCTCTCTCTCTCTCACTTACTCGCTGTTTCTTCGCCTCTATCTGTCACTGCGCATCTCTTTGTCTTTCGCTCCCTCTCTGTCTCCTCTCTCTCACCTTCTCTTTGTCTCTCTGCCTCGCTCTCTCTCTGGTTTCTTTCTCTCTCTTTCTCTTGTTTCCTTCTCTCTGTCTGTCTCTCTGTTTCTCTCTCTCTCTCTCTGTCTGTCTGTCTCTCTCTATCTCTCCCAGCAGCAAGTAGGAACCCGGTTGTTAGTCGATTGGCGGATCGCTTTCCGGGGTTAATAACCGCTGCAGAAAAAATGCGGTCACTCAATCCACGACTGTGCTATATCAAATGCAAGGATCATTGTGTTATATATTATAATAATAATATAATAATAATCCTTGCATTTGATATCGCTTCTTATCATGTCTTTGAGACATCTCAAAGCGCTTCACAGAATATACTGTAAAGTGCAGTGACTGTGTCTTTTGGGGTTGGGGGAGCATGTTAAGACTGGGGAGGGAGGGGGTTGACTGTTTGCTGACTCCACTCTGGAGTACTCTGACACCACTTAGGCTCTGCTCACTAGCATAGGAAGGTTGGCTGACATTTCACAGGCTTTGGCAGAGACCGTGTTAGTTACACACCCCCTTCTTCCTCCCCACCACCACACACACACACACACACGCACACGCAAATAAACACACACACACCCAACAGAGTGAGTGTGTCACATGCCGCTTGCAGGGACCCGCCCTGTGCCAGCCTGCTGGAGTGATCAAAGCTGTGTGCGGGTGTGTGGTGTGTGCGCGTAGTGTGTGTGTGTGTTACAGTATCCGCAGTGATGTGCCAAGGCAGGTCATGCCCCCCCCAGACTCCACAAGTGCCAACAATTAATAATAATAATAATAAAGCTTGCATTTGGTATAGCACCTTATCACTTCGTTGCAACGCCTCAAAGCTCTTCACGGATGATATGTGTAAAGTTCACGGATGAACTGTGTTATTTTGTGGGCGAAATGCGCTGGACAATTGCACACAGAAATGTCCCAGAAAGCAGTCCGCCAGTCGACTAACAGCTGGCTTCCCACCTGCAGCGAGCTAAACAGAGGCGTGTGGAGTAAGGAAACTTCCCTAAGGTTTTGCCCTGCCTGGCGATCGAACCAGAGTCCTCTCGCTTTCGAGGCGGGCGCGCCAACCACTACAGGACTCCACGATTGTTGTTGGCCTTCATCAAGTCTAGCGATACACACGGTCACTACACTTTATAGATTCACTGTAAAGTACAGCCGCGCACAGCAATGTCCCACAAACAGCCATGGAGCGAGTGACCAATTTTATTTGGGGGATTGTCGGCCAGGACACCGGGAGAGCGAAATTCCCTTCTTTTCCACTAGCGCCGGGGAAACTTTAACATCCACCCGAACAGGCAGACGGGGGGGGGGGGGGGGGGCTCGGTTTCTCTGGGACGCACTCCCCAACACCCCCCCGCCCCCCTCGGGTTGTGGGGGTGAGGGAGGAGCTCGCAGCTCGTTTCTCGGTGGCGAGGGAGCAAGTCTGCAATGCTCTGCGCTGCGTGTGGGGTCACGAGAGGAGAGGAGGTTGTGTGAGCAGGCTCCCGTGCGGAGGGACACCGAGGTTGAATGACTGCGCTTCAACCTGCGATTGTTTGACAAGAATCACTCGGCATGTTTCATAAATAAAGAGCTTAAATGAATGGATTTGCCCGGGAGGGATTGGCTGCACAAATAAAGCTTCATCAGCCAAGGTTTCTTCAACACATCAAAGAAATGGACACCAGCCAAATACAGTGTGGAGTGTGAGAGAGCTATGTGTGTGTGTGTGTGTGTGTGCGTATGTGTTTGTATGTCTGTGTGTGTGTGTGTGTGTGTCTTATGTACATGTCTGTGTGTCCATGTATGAATGTGCCTGTGGGTTTGTGTGTGTGTATCTGTGTGCCTCTTTGTGTGTGTGTGTGTGCGTGTATGTGTTTGTCTTGTCCATGTGTGCCTGTACGTGTGTGTGTGTATGTGTGCCTATGTGTATGTTCACGTATAAAAATAATAATCCTTGCATTTGATAGAGCGCGATATCACATCTTTGAGACGCCTCAAAGCGCTTCACAGAATACAGTGTAAAGTGTAGTGACTGTATACTTTGTGGGCGAAATGCGGCAGCTAATTGTGCACAGGTTTCTGTGTGTGTACGTGGGTGCGTGTGTGTGTCTATTTGTGTATCTGTCTGTGTGTCCTATCTTCATGACCTCCTTCAACCCAACTGACCTGACCACTCCTTTTGCTGCCCTGCCCTCTCCCCATTACACTTCCTGCCCCCATCATACACCCCCATTACACATCCTGCCCCCATCAACCCCCCCCCACCCTGCCCCCATCACATATCCCCCCCACACCCTGCCCCCATCATATACCCCCACCCTGCCCCATCATATATCCCCCACACCCTGTCCCATCACCCCCCCACCCTGCCCCCATCACCCCCCACCCTGCCCCCATCACCCACCCCCCACCATGCCCCCATCAAACCCCCTCCCTCTCCACTCAACTCCCCCCACCCACTCTCAGCTCCCACCCCCATCTCAGGTAGCCAGCCGGCAGGGGCAAGCGCTTTGAAACATCCTCCAGACAGGAATATTGCTGCATAATTGTGAATTGTATTGTCATTGTTTGTGTGCCTGCCGTGTTAGTTTAGATTTTTGGGTGTCTGACACATGCGGAAACTCATCCCCGTGCTTAACAGTATCCAAACCAAACGATTGGGATTGTTCTATGTATGCCACCGACACATGGAAATTTCCATAGGAATGGAATGCGCAGAGGGATTCAACCTGTTTACCTAATTCTGGAAAATATTAGGCGCAGGTTGGCGAGAGCCAAGGCTTGGGTATCCCAGAGTGTGCGTTGGGGTAACTGCTGGAGTCTAACCAGCTAAAACCCTGCCATTGAGAACACTGTCTGGCAAGATTTCCCACTGTTTGTCCACGTAGAACCACCCTACCTGTTGGGGCTTTGGCTTGCAGGGTTAATAGGAGCTGAGTGGGAGGATTCCCTGCCCCCAGTGACTGGTCTGCCCTTCCAAGTCCTGCCAATGAGCCAGGTTGGGCTGTGTTGCCATTAGCAGTGCCCTGGAATACTGTGGACCCGCCTGGCTCAGGAACCAGACTAAAGACCGTCACAGAGGCTGGCTCGATTCCGATATTCTGTTGCCAAACATGTCACCTTGAAGTCAATTCAACCCTGGGGAGGTGCCGCTTTCTCCGACCACCCACCTTCCCGCCACCAAAGAGGGCATTGTGCATATATTCTTTGTCTCTAATGTGTGCTGTGGCTGACCTGGGAGTGTGGACAGACAGCGTAGAGGGAGTATTACTCTGTCTCTAACCTGTGCTGTCACTGACCTAGGAGTGTGGACGGACTCCCGGATTGCTACCGCTTAGGTGAGGTTTAGTGTAAAGAAAAGCTAGAAGCTTGAAGGGGTTTGAGGATTGAGAGGGCAGCTTGGTCTCAGACGATTCAGTCTTAAGGGGCCGATTGGCCTCCTTCTGCTCTGCAAACTTCTCAGAATCTCTCATTATCAATCCCTCAATATGTCAATATCCATAGATCAACATTAATACATCAATATCTCCACATTAATACTGTAGCGCAGTTTAAGATAGAGTAAAGCTCTCTCTACATAGTTCGTGCACACTCCCAGGTCAGCCACAGCATGGGCTAGAGACAGAGTAAAGCGCTCTCTATTGATATTGACAGTAATGTTGATTTTGAGAGATTGATATTCCTATTGACATTGAGAGATTATAATAAATAATAATAATCCTTGCATTTGGTATAACCCCTTTTCACGTCGTTGAGATGTCTAGAAGTGCTTCACAGGGTATACTGTAAAGTGGTTTGACTGTTGTGTTTTGTGGGAGAAATTGATAATAATATTGAGAGATTGATATTACTATCGATATTGATATGGATATTGATGTTAATATTAATATGGGTGTTAATATTGATATTACTTTTGATAAGAGATTGACATTAATATTGGTATTGAGAAATTAATATTAAGAAATTGATGTTCATACTGAGAGATTGATATTACTGGTGATATTTAGAGATTATTTAATATTGAGAGTTTGATATTAATAGTCAGAGATTGAAGCGGAGAGATTGATGTTAATTTTGCGAGATGGTTGCTGAAATTCAGTTGTGGAGTGCCTTGCTGTGTGCCGGTGCGGTAGCTGACTAATAAACAGTATCAATATTTCTCTATAATTGTGGATTGTGCTGTTAGAGAGGCTTCTGTGTGGTTGACCTTTCTTCTCTCCTGGTTTCCCGCCCGGGATGATTGAAAGCTCCTGCCCTGTGCAGCTGTTGTACTTCAGTGTCTGACCCTGCGTGAGAGTGGGGGAGGGCAAGCAGACCATGGCAGTGCTCGCCACATAACCTAAATCCAGAGGCCCTTCCCGATGATAGCACAGACCGGCCTGGCTTATCGTCACAACCCACTCAGCTCCTGTTAACCCTGTAAGACAGAGCCCTAACGAGTAGGGTGGTCGTAGCCGGACAAGCAGTGGGAAAGCTTGTGGTTTTAGTTGGTTAGACTCCAGCAGTTACCCCAGCACACACTCTGGGGTCCCCAAGCCTTGACTCTTGACAACCTGCGCCCAATACTCTTGGGAATTAGGTGAGCAGGAGGCGTCCCTCCAGGGAGAGAGAGTGCGCTTTCCATTCCAACAACCTATCTCTGGGATTTCCATGTGTAGGTGGGATGCCTGGAATTCTCAGTTTGGTTTGGATGCTCCTAAGCACGGTGATGGGTTTCTGTATGTGTCAGACACCCGACTGATCTCCCCAAATGGCACCCTCCCTTTTCCCCCAAACCTTGTTTAGAAGGTTGAGGGTTGACATGATTGAGGTGTTTAAGATGGTAAAGGGATTCAATACAAAGAAACTATTTCCTCTGATGTTTGGGGTAATCCAGAACAACAGGACATCTTCCTAAAATTAAAGCCAGGCTGTTTAGGAGTGAAATCAGGAAGCACTTTTTCACACAAAGGGTAGTGAAAATCTGGAACTCTCTCCCCAAAAGGCTGTGGATGTTGGATCCATTTACATTTTCAAGACTGGGGTGAATAGATTTTGTTAGGTCAGGGAATCAAGGGATATGGAGCAAAAACTCACTCAATCCGTGGCTGTTTGTGGGACATTGCTGTGCACGATTCGTTGCCACATTGCGCCCAAAAATATTCAGTGAATCCACCTTACAATATATCCTGTAAAAAGTTTTGAGGCGTCTTGATGACGTGATAAAGCGCTGCATCAAATGCAAGAATTATTATCATTATTCTATTATTATTTCAAACCCGTTTGTTTTAAAATGAATGTTTGGATTTTTCCCCACGTTCCTTGCAGATCCGAGGTGGAAAACTGATGATCACGAACAGCCGGAAAAGCGACGCTGGAAAGTACGTGTGTGTGGGGACCAACATGGTGGGGGAGCGAGAGAGCGATGTGGCAGAGTTGACCGTGCTAGGTAAGTCTGTCGGTCCGTCCTTCCGTCCTGCCTCACAAACACACAGCCTGGAGGGGATGCGCAGTCCATTGGGGGTGGGGGGCTGGGAGGAGGTGGAAAGTTTGTGCTGTGTGATGTGCTAATTATCACCCGCGAAAGAGTTTTAAACGGTGAGCTGAGCGCGGTGTCAGGCTCCATCACTGTTAAAAGCTCCGAGACCTATCCTCCATGAACGGGATGAGGTATAAATGCAAGTTGGTGTGATAATTAGCACATCATGTAGCTCATTTTACCCATTGTGCCCAGGTGTGAGTGCCGTCACAACAGCAACAAATTACACTTGTATAGCGCCTTTCATGTCCCAAGGCCCTGGAAGGATGTAACACGATGGGAAGAGGGTCAGGAGTGAGTCACTGAAATGTTCATAGAATCTTACAGCACAGAAGGAGGACCATTAGGCCCATCGTGTCTGTGCCAGCTCTTTGAAAGAGGTATCCAACTAGTCCCACTCCCCCGCTCTTACCCAGTAGCCCTGTCAATATTTCCCTTTAAAGTAAATATCCAATTTACTTTTGAAATTTTATTATTGAAAGTTATGCTCCGTGCAACGAGTGGGGGGTGGTTTCCCATCTGAAGAGACTTGGGGAGTTGTTCACTGGAGCTGAGAGGGTTAAGGGGCGAGCCAATCGAGGTTCTTTGAGATCACGAAGGGTTATATACGAAAGGGTGAATTTAACCAAAAAAATGAGAGGGCTTCAAAGCGGAGGAGCGAGAAAAAAAACCTTGACACACAAATCGGTGGAAGAAATGTGGAATTCTATACCAAAGAACCCGTTGTGTGTGATGTGTGTTTGTGTGTGTGTGTGTGTGTGTGTGTGTGTTGGTGGTTAATGTGGGTGTGTGAGAGCCTGGCTTCATTGACAGAACTCACACTGCTGAGTGAGACTTCATATCACAGCTCACAATCCATGCTAATGTTCCAGCGCAATGCTAGGCAGGTGTGCTGCATTGCCAGAGATGTCGTCCTTCAGATGATATGTTCAACCAAAGTCACTTCTGCGCCTTTTCCAATGGGTGTTAAAGATCCTGCGGTGCTCTCGGAATAGAGGAGAGAGATTCTCTCTCCCAGTGTCCTGGACAACAATCCCCCAAATAAAATTGGTCACTCACTCCATGACTGTTTGTGGGTTGTAACTGTGCTATGTTTGCCCACCAAATAGAGTAACTGCGGTTTTACAATACAAACCTGTGACATGCTATCAGAGTTTTCTCTCTCCCGATGTCCTGGCTGACAATCCCCCCCCCAGATAAAACCAGTCACTCGATTCACGGCTGTAAATCCTGTGAAGCGCTTTGAGGCGTCTATTTCGACATGAAAGACGCGACATCAAATGTAAGGATAATTGGTGTTATTATAGAAACAGTGTCCGTTAATTCTTTTCAAAGAGATTTGAAAAGGAGGAAACTTCAAAGAGTGTGGGGAAGCGATCAAAGGCTCAAATCCCACCTGTTCTGGAAGGACCTGTCACTTAAAATGTAATCGTACAGAATTGTTGGAACTTATTTATTCAGTCTCACTTTGGAAGCTGGTTTGTCTTTTTAAGTGTAGCGTAAAAACTGCATAGCAATATTCAGCCAGGATTGAAGGATTGACTCTTTCAGAATCATCCGAATCATAATAATTTTATATTTATATTCATAATTTCACCCACAAAATACACAGTCAATCCAGTTTACAATATATGAGACGTCTTTGAGATGCCTCTACAATGTGATAAGGCGCTATGTCACATGCAATGATTATTATTGTTATTTGACAGAGTGCCTTTAAGTTTTAAGACAAAATCACAAGACGATATAAGGAGACTGGTCGGTTGCTGGGGAAGTAGACACCAGCATGGTTAACATTAATTAATAATAATAATTATTAATATTAATGTTGATAATTGATCATAATAATTAAGGCTGAAGGTATTATTTCTGTCCGGATCAGAACATTTTGTGACTCTATTAACATGAGAACAATAATCCTTACATTTGATACAGCCCCTTATCATGTCCTCATAGCGCTTCACAGGATTTTACTGTAAAGTGCAGTAGGCAAATATAGCAGCCAATTTGTGCACAGTATTGTCCCACAAACAACCATGCGACAAGTATTATTTTGTTGAGGACACTGGGAGAGAGCAACTCCCTTCGCTTCTCCAATAGCACCATGGGATCTTTAACATCCACTGGAACAGGCACAGACGGGGCCTCAGTTTAATGGAGCATCAGCATGGACTGTGAGCTCACTAAAGAAGTACCTGACTTGGGGCTTGATCTCAAAACTATTGACCAATCTACTGACTCACAGAGTACTACTGAGCCGGATACACCGGGAATGATACACGAACCAAACTGCAACTTGGTGAGACACGAGGACTTGAATGTGAGACTCTCTCGGAGTTGAGCTTGACGCTAAATGTTGTTCCGGCTCCGAACAGCTTTTAACGTTCAACTCCTGAGAAAGTAGATCATGATCTTACTAGATCTGGCCCAAGCAGATGCGAGTGAGAGTGTTGTGTGCTCCTCAGAGAGACCGTCCTTTGTGAAGAGGCCGAGTGGACAGGTGCTGCTGGTGGACGAGAACGTGGAGTTCAAGTGCGAGGCTCGAGGGGACCCGGTGCCCACCGTACGGTGGAGGAAGGAAGACGGGTCACTGCCAAAGATCAGGTACAGTCCTGGCCGACTTACCCAGCAGTAAGTAGGAACACGGTTGTTAATCGATTGGCGGATTGCTTTCCGGGGGTTAGTGGTTTGTTTGTTAGCCTGGCTCAGTGGTAGCGCTCGCTCTCACCTCTGAGTCAGAGGTCATGTCGGGTCTTGGAATCACATCGTCTAAGCTGACGCTCCAATGCAGCGCTGGGGATTGTTGCATTGTAGAAGGTGCCGTTCTTCGGATGAGACATTAAATGCAGCGACTTGGGACGTCCGCCCGACATGAAAGGCGCAATCCAAATGCAATTTATTGCTGTTGAGATGTTAAACCGAGGTCCCGTCTGCCTGTTCAGATGGGTGTTAAAGATTCCCCGGCCCTATTGGAAAAGAGAAGGGAGTTTCTCTCTCTCAGTGTCCTGACCAACAATCCCCCAAATAAAATAGGTCACACACTCCACGACTGTTTGTGGGACGCTGCTGTGTACAACTGGCTGCCGCGTTCGTCCACAAAATACAGAGTCACGACACTTTACAGTGTATTCTGTGAAGCGCTTTGAGACGTCTCAACGATCTGATAAGGCGCTATGTCAAATGCAAGGATTATTATTATCATTGTTTATCAGGACTTCGGACACTGGGCTGGCATTTTGCCTACCGTGACCCCCCCTGTTATCCCGGCAAGATAAAGCTCGGATTGGTCAGGAAGTCAGGAATGTGCACTCTCTCTCCCAGGAGGGACGCCTCCTGCTTACCTAATTCTGGAAAGTATTAGGCGCAGGTTGGCAAGAACCAAGGCTTGGGGACTCCCGAGTGTCCGTTGGGGTAACTGCTGGAGTCTAACCAGCTAAAACCACATAGCCTGCCATTGAGAGCACTGTCTGGTAAGGTTTCCCACTGCTTGTCCGGCTATGACCAGCCTTGTTAGGGCTTTGGCTTGCAGGGTTAACAGGGTTAAACTCCAGCGGTTATTCCAGGCACGCACTTCTGACGAACCTTCGGAACGTCGCTTGGGCTCGGAGTCTCCACCAAGCAAGCGTCCAAGGTGTTATCAGAACTCCTGCGAGAACGTTTGTGACAACAGGGCTGGGTTGAGGACGGGCTGAGATTAGACCGCCCAGGGTGAGATACTGGGGGAGAGTGAGGACGAGGAGAGGGGAGAGTCAGACAGTTCCAGTGTGACATGTGCCAACTATCTCAACAGGTCGGAGATACAGGATGACAACACACTCATCATCCGTCGGGTGACGGGCGGAGACGTGGGGACCTATACCTGCCTGGCGGAGAACATGGTGGGCAAGGCGGAGGCATCGGCTACACTGACAGTTCACGGTAAGAAACCACATAGTCTGATATTAACCATGACACCTTGACAGCCTTACCCCCCACCCCTCCACCTCTCCGACCTGCAAACCCCTTATCAACCTGCCCACTCCCTCCGCTCAGCAGGCTCCAGCCTGCTCTATGTCCCCCGCCCAGCTCACCCCACCATCAGCGGTCAGGCCTTCAGCCTCTCTGCCCTCACACTCTGGAATTCCAGCCCACAGTCCCTTCGCCCCCCCCACCCCCACTTGGATCCTAATCCCTGACTGTTCAGCGCCTTGGGACGTCCTCCCAATGTGAAAGGCGCTTTACAAATGTAATTTTGTATTGTATATTGTCTCATATTAACAGTGACACCTCTATGTAGTCTGATATTAACAGTGACACCTCTATATTAGGTGTGTGTACAAGCAGTCTGTGTGTGCGTGTGTGTTTGGGTGTAAGTAAGTGATTGTGTCTGATTGTATCTCTGGTGCGTTCACACAGTTTCTGAGTGTTGCAGCTTTTACTGAGTGGGTCCTGGTAACCCGACTCCTTATTACCTGAGCTCCCCATGACCTGCTAAGTTCTCTCGCTGTATATTTCCTATAATTACACCACTGACCGCCACAGAGCTAGACACCGTGTGGTATACTCACAGCACACAGAGGGGAGATGATCCCTATTTAGTGTAGGTAAAATTTCAGTGAAACACTATACCTTTTCACAAGTAGCGCAGGCCTGAAATTGCCCACAGTCTTAGCCTGCGAGGCCTTTTGTCTTGGAACACTGAGATGTTGCTGAATTATGGAAACAACCCAAACCCAATCTCAATTTTAGACACGAGATTCCCGAGGTTTTTAAACAAAATTACCTTCTAAATTAAGAGTGATTTTGAAGCACTATCAGAGGTTACTTCCTACTGGTGAGATGTTAAACCGTACGAGGTCCCATCTGTGCCTGTTCAGGTGGATGTTAAACATCCCGCGGAGCTGTTGGAAAAGAGAAGGGAGTTACTTTCTCTCTGTTTGTGGTTCATCTGCGTGCAAATTGGCTGCCATTTTGCCTACAGTCACTACACTTAAAAACAATAATCCTTGCATTTGAGGATAGCTCAAAGCGAGTCACAGGATTTATTGTAAAATGTAGTGAATGTGGATTTTGTAGGCGAACACTGGGGATCGTTCTCCTTAGAGCAGAGAAGGTTGAGGGGAGAATTAATAGAGGTGTTCAAAATTATGAGGGGTTTTGATGAGAGTAGATAGGGAGAAGCTGTTTCCTCTGGCTGGTGGGTCGGTAACCAGAGGACACAGATTTAAGATAATTGGCAAAAAAAGAACCAGAATGGAAAATTTACAGGGCTATGTAGTAAAAGCAGGGGTGTGGGATTAGTTGGTAGCTCTTTCACAGGCACATTAGGCCGAATGGCTGTAAGATTCTATGATTCTATAACACGGCAGCCAATTTGTGCGCAGCGATGTTCCACAAACAGCTGTGGAGCAACCAGGTTTATCTAAGAGATAAACATCTCATCCGCAGCATGATGTTTGGCAGCAGTTTGCGGTGCAGAGATTTGAGACATTTTGTCGTGCATCAAATGCAAGGCTGAGATTATTTATTATGTGGAATCAGTGATGTGTTGCCACTCAGCGCTGTGTAGGAAATTTACAGGGCATTTTTGTAGCCCTGGTCTGCTGATAGGACCCATAGGGGCGAGGAATGTTTCTGATACAAACAAGTGTAGATAACACATTCCGGATCCCATCACCCCTGTAGCTCACTGCTTCCCTCGCCTGCGATACAGCAGGTTCACACTGAGCATCAGCCTTCAGCTCAGTTTAGAGAGGACATTTCACCCATTGCGACCACGTCCCTCTCTTGCTCTACCCACTTTCCTGTCCACTCCTCCCGACCCGCCACCCACCCACATACACTCACTCACACACTCACACACACACTCACATACTCAATTCAACACAGCCTCAGTATGAGGTACAATGCTGTCCTCCATCACGTCGCCACCCCACCCCCACACCACTCTGACTATACCTCACACCCAATGCAGCTGAAACCTCGTCCACACCTCTGTCACCTCCCGCCTCAATTACTCCAATGCCCTCCTCGCTGGTCTCCCCAGCTCCAAACCCACAAAATCCATTCAGAACTGATTCAGAACTCCGCCGCCTGTATTCATTCTCACCCACACTAAACTCCGTACCCCCATCACACCAGTCCTGGCCAGGCTCCACTGGCTCCCTATCACAGAACGGATCGACTTCAAGATCCTCACATACATCTACAAATCCCATCGTGCCCTGGCACCTCCCTACCTCTCCGACCTGCTTACTCCCAACCCACTACCCGTTGCCTCCACTCGGCTGGCTCCGGCTTCCTGCCCGGGCCCTCATCCCCCTCCTCTCCACCATCGGCGTTTGTGCTGACAGCCACTACACTCCGAAACTCTGCAACTCTCTCCCTCAATCCCTCTCAATCTTGCCCCTTCCTTTCCCACGTTCGGATCGCGCGCGAAGACCTTCCTGTAGGACAGCACTCCCTCCCTCCCCTCTCCCCCCCCACCCCCTGCTGGCTCGGCACCAGGCTTCCCCACTGTTTCCCCAAGCGCTCCGAGATGCCACCCGCCTGAAGGTGTGTAAACGCAAGATGTTACTGCCGTAAAATTTCAGAATGTCCCGGAGGGGGGGTGGGGAGGGTGGAGAATTCTTAAAATCCAGTCTGAAGTTCTTTTTAAGAAACTGCGGGGGCGGGAGGTGGTGGTGGGGGGGGGGAGGGGGGGGGAACAGCTACCAAAAAGCTTGCTGGGTTGAAGTGTTTACCATAGTTCTGGGTTGACTCAATGTTTAGGCAAACAGGTCGGACAGGCTGGGCCTGGGAGCGATGCTGGGCTCTCAGGTGTGCTGACACTGGCCTCTCTCTGTTCCTTCACGTTACCCTGGCTACAACTTGACGCATCGCCCTGCGCTGCTCTGATGTTGACGTACATTGTTCAGCTTGTCAGGGCCGCTATTCACCCACCACAAACCCTTCGTGTTTCAGCACAAACAATGCTTTCAGCAGCCTTGAACTCGGGTTGTTGTTATGCAGTGTAACTCACCAGTGATCAGCTCAGGTTAGAAACAGAGCAAAGCTCCATCTACACTGACTGTCTACACTCCCAGGTCAGGGTCGGAGGCAGTGCAAAGCTCCCTCTAGCGCTGTCCGTCCACACTCCCAAGTCAGCGACAGCAAGGATTAGAGACAAGAGTTTCACCCACAAAGTATGCAGTCAATCCATTTTACAGTATATTCTGGTGAGGCGCTTTGAGACGTCTCAAAGACTTGATAAGGCGCTATATCAAATTCAATTATTATTATCATTACACTGTCCGCCCACCCTCCCAGGACAGCGACAGCACAGGTTAGAGACAGAATAAAGCTCCCTCTACACTGTCCGTCCACACTCCTAGGTCAGTGTCAGAACGGGTTAGAAACGAAGTTAAGAGAGTTGTGTAAAAACGTTACAGAATCACTTTGCCTAAATGATCAGATTGCTTTGACCTGAAAGAAAGTGTGTGGAGGTTTGTGACTGTGGCATGTCAGAGCAAGCCCAGAGACATGAGGCCAGGCTGATTGGTGCAGGTACCTGCAGTAAATATATGCACCTGGCATCTGAAATACATCTTTATTGTTTTCTTATCCATAACCATTGATGTTTTACTCTTTAAGTTCGTTTTCATGTCTCAAACGAATCTTCCTGCCCGGCCTGTGCCTCACCAGGTTGGTCTATCTGTCCGTCTGTTGGTGTAGGAGTGGGATAGAGTAAAGCTCCCTCTACACTGTCCATCCATACTCCCAGGTCAGGGTTAGAGACAGGGTAAAGCTCCCTGACACATGTCCATCTGCACTCTGAGGCCATATTGAAAAAGTTTCATTGGTGGGACATTGGGAGGTTGGGGCGGAGTTGCTCATTGTTGCCAGACATGGGGAAAGAATAACAGTAAAACAAAGGGCTTGAAGTGCCACAAGTTGAAGATGAGCTGCCAAAGAATTCAAGATGGCAGCCATCACAACATGAGGAAACGTGGCTCTGTGGGGAGAGATATGCTGGCCCTTAGTGTTAGTATCAAAGTAACATTTGGAAACCTAGAGCAATACTTTAGGATGCACTGAGACAACAGAACAAGAGGACACAGGTTTAGACTTGCAATGGGCAATTTCAGGAGAGACACCAGGAAGTGTTTCGTTACCCAGGGGGTAAATAACGACCGGAACAGGGTTACCATGAAAAGTTGTTGAGGCCAGGAAACTGGAAATCATTTACAAAGCAGTTCGATGCTGTGATGGGGGCAGGTCTGGTGGGGGTTCTGGGGGGATGAGGTCAGATGGGTCGAAGGGTCGTCTTCATCCAAACCATCCTTTGGATGAGATGTTCAACCGAAGTCCCATCTGCTTGTTCAGGTGGACGTTAAAAGCCCGCGGCGTTATTGGAAAAGAGAAGGGAGTTTCTTTCTCTCTCTCTCTCTCTCTCTCTCTCCTGGTGTCCTGGCCGACAATTCCCCAGATTAGATTGGTCACTCACTCCTGTGGGATGGGGTGGGGAGTTGGTGGTGGGGGGGTGGGCGTTCTGATGAGATGAGATCAGATGGGACGAACGAAAGTTCTTCTTCATCCAAACCCGTCTTGTGAGGAGGACCGATTGGGTTGTATCCCTGCTGAAATGTTCTAGAATTTCAGGGCAATAACCCGGTGAGTCAACGGCGGCAGGAAGAGGTCGCTGGGAATGGCATGGTAGGTTGAGTGTGTGTAGTTTGCTTTTTTTGGTGGGGGGTGGGGGGTTAAATTCATATCGATTTCATCTTGTATTTTTTTTCTTTATGTCTGTTTGTGTTTCTAGTTGGTTCTGTGGGTAAGTTGAACCTCTCATCCTCGTCATTCCCTTCTTACCACTGTTACGGCCGACGCTGGGGGAAAACAACCCAAACTCAACCCGAGTCTCGGCTTACACACCCACATTCCAAACCATCACCTCCTCCATCCTCTCATCAACCCATCCCCGCTTGCGTGGCTCCGTTGTCAATGGCAAACCACCAAAGACGGAGCGAAGTAAAACAATCTTAAACAGTCACGTGACAAAGGGAGTATGGGGTTTGTTCTCAGTCCAGAGAGAGAGAAGGTAACATCTCAACCTGCTTCTTTTTCCTCTTGCTCACCCATCCTCATCACCTCACAGCCTCTGTTTCCCCCAAGTGATATCCGTGTTTGGAAGCTTTTGATGGATGTTGTTAAAAAGACTTTGTAATCCCTGCCTTTGGGACAGAGCCTTATCACATCTCCCAGGTGTCTCAAAGTGCTTCGTGGCATTTTACTGTGAGGCGTTCCCTAAGTGTTTACAAATCACTGGTTAGGCCTCAGCTGGAAGGTTGAGGGGAGATTTAATAGAGGTGTTCAAAATTATAAGGGGTTTTGATAGAGTAAATAGGGAAATAATTGACACAAGAACCAGAGGGGAGACATTTGTTTAACCAGAGAGTTGTTACGGCCTGAAAGGGTGGTGGAAGCAGATTTGATAGTAGCTTTCAAAAGGGAATTGGACAGAAAATTTGGCAGGGCTTTGGGATGAGAGTGGGGGAGTGGCACTAGTCGGGAGGTCTTTCAAAGAGCCGGCATGGACACGATGGGCCGAATGGCCTCCTTCTGTGCTGTAAGATTTCATGATTCTAAGAAAGAACGCTGAAACTGCTAGGGGGGAAGGCAGGAATTACAACTTGGTTTCCTGCAGGTGGGTGTAATCGTAAATTTAAAGCAATCTCACAGGCTGAGAGAGGGTTGGATTTTTCTGCCTGTACTGTGTGCTTGGCACAGTGTGTCACAATCTCTCTGGCTCAGGAGGTTGTGGGTTCGAGCCCCTCATCGGGGACTTTGAGCTCGCAATCCTGACCCTCTAGTGCAGTATTGGGGGGAGTGGGAGGGGGGGGGGAAGGGCAGAGGGAGTGCGGCACATACACAGAAGCGTCGTCCTTCAGGTGAGATGTTAAACCGAGATCCCGTCTGTGCCTGTTCAGGTGGACGTTTAAAGATTCCATGGCACGTTTGGAAAAGAGAAGGGAGTTTCTCTCTCTCTCTGTGGTGCCCTGGCCAACAATCCCGCTCACACTGCGGTTGTTTCTGGGACGTTGCAGTTGTTCTGAAGGGCCGAGTGGCTGGGGCGATGTCTTATTATTTTCCTCTGTTTGACAAACATTTTCCTCGCTGGACTGGTAACGAAGCAGGGTGGGGTAGAGAAACTGCCCTACCAGCCCCAGGATTACTTTTCAATGGGGCGTAGTCCAGGTCTAAGCCTGACGATTGCCTTAAATCTGGGTTGTCCAAAAGAAATCCTTATTTATCATAATGACACATAAAAACTATTGCAAATTTAACCCCTCTAATGTGCTGTATTGCTAGCGTGTCTCCTATGATATTCCATGTTAAACATAACTTCAGTGTTAATTTCCAGATATTTCCAGCTCTTTATTTTGTTGAGACATAGTTCAGGCCCTGTCTGCATTGTGATCTGAATGTGAGTTTAAATGTGGGATTAGCGTAGAGAGCTCCAGTGGGGGAGTGAGCAGAGACACGATGGGGAGAGAGCAGGGAATGGGGTTAGAGTAGAGAGCTCCAGTGAGGGAGTGAGCAGAGACATGATGGGGAGAGAGCTGGGAATGGGATTAGAGTAGAGAGCTCCAGTGGGAGGTTAGTTGACTATAATATGAATCATTTGTGTTATAACACACAAAATAAAGTAATCAAAAGCCAATCAATGGGATTGCCGATGTTCACATTAAGAGTGAGGAGAGTATTATGTGCAAGTGATAAATGGTGTGAGTTCCGCTGTTAATGCCTGCCCATTCCTCCCCCCCACCCCACCCCCGCCAGCTCCTCCCAAGTTTGTGGTGAACCCAAGAGACCAGGTGGTGGCAGTGGGACGGACGGTGACTTTTCAGTGTGAAGCCACCGGCAATCCACAGCCCGCCATCTTCTGGCAGAGAGAGGGCAGCCAGGTGAGTTCCAGGTCGACTTTGAGATCCTCTCACTCGTCTTCAAATCCCTTCATGCCCTGGCACCTCCCTACCTCTCCAGCCTCCTTGCTTCTCCCACTCCACTACCCGTCGCCTCCGCTTGACTGGCTCCGGCCTCCCGCTTGTCCCTCGTGGCCTCCATCCCACTATTGGTGGCCGCGTTTTCAGCCACTGCGCCCCAAAACTCTGGAACGCTCTTCTATTCCCTGCGCCTTGGCCTTGCCCATCTTCAGATCGCGCCCGAAGACCTTCCTCTTCAACCGTGCTCACGGTCACCTCCCCCCACCCCCACCCGGTTCGGCGTCAGGCTGTTAAGCAAGTTGTTGTTGTTGTTGCCTCTAACGCCCGTGAGCCAGCCTCTTCCCTCACATCCCTCGTCTCTTTCCAGAACCTTCTCTTCTCGTCACAGCCGCCGCAGCCCTCCAGCCGGTTCTCGGTGTCACCGACCGGTGACCTGACCATCGTGAGCGCTCAGCGCTCCGACGTCGGCTACTACAGCTGTCAGGCCCTCAATGTGGCCGGCAGTGTCATCACCAAGGCCTTCCTGGAGGTCACTGACGGTAACCACAGTGTGCTCAACACCTCCTCTCGTGACTGGCAGTGAGAGAATAACAGTGAGAGAGTAACAGTGAGGGTAACGATCTCCGTACCCTCAGCACACCAGTACTAGCCAGGCTCCACTGGCTCCCTATCACATAACGGATTGACTTACAAGATCCTCACGCTCGTCTTCAAATCCCTTCACGCCCTGGCACCTCCCTACCTTGTCAACCCGCTAACTCCCTATTCCACCACCCATCCGCAGCTTCTGCTCAGCTGGCTCAGGCCTCCTGCTTGTCCTTCGCCCCCATCGCTCCACCAAAGGTGGCTGTGCTTTCAGCCGCTACACCCCCAAAACTCTGGAACGCTCTTCCTCAACCCTCCCCCTTGCCCGGCTGTCTGGCTCCATCCGGTCACCTGCCCTTGGCTTAATCGGTCACTTGGTCATCAATTCCTGGATGAGAGCTAATTTCTCCAGTTGAATGTCGACAAGGCAATGGCCCTCCTGCTTGGCTCCCGTCATCGCCTCCTCACCTCAGGCAATGACAGCGTCAAGCTACTAAAACACCCACTCTACCTCACGAGCCAGTGCGGAACCTCGGTGTCTTGTTTGACTGTGCCAACCCCCTGCTCGCCGGACTTCCCAACTCTTCCCTCCTCGACGTGGGGAAACATCTCCAGATCGTATCCTCTCCTGCACCAGGTTCCCCTGAGTCTATGACCCCCATGGTTGGTCTTAATGGCCTGTTTCTATGCCACGTCACTCTACGAGCTCTGTAACTCTCTCAGGTAAATGCCGACCCTGCTATCGCGTTGCTGTGATAATTATCCCGGGCCTGCGGGGCTTTTCGCTTATATGATTCTCTTGTGTTTTTTTCTCGGCAGTGATTTCAGACCGACCACCTCCGGTGATCCGCCAAGGCCCGGTAAACCAGACGGTCCCTGTGGACGGAACCATCATCCTGAGCTGCGTGTCCAGCGGCTCCCCCACCCCCACCATCCTCTGGCGGAAGGACGGAGGCCTAGTCCCCACCCACGACTCCCGCGTCAAACAGCAGGACTCGGGCAGCCTCCAGATCCGCTACGCCAAGGTACGTCACTCCCCCGGGAGAGTGAACACCAGCGCGGACACGACGTGGAGAGAGCTAGGAATGGGGTTAGAGTGGAGAGCTCCAGTGGGGGAGCTACACCGTAGTGTAGAGACTATGCTATGGTATACTGTAACCTCCGATAGTTTAAAGTACCTCCAAGAGTAGAATGAGGCACGGTGGGGGTGGGGGGGAAACAAGCGCACTTTGTGTAACTTGCGACTGAAGCAAGGAAATATGAAGCAGATGGAATTTAACCCAGAATTCTGATCTTGTGCTTTGAGAAGCCGTTCTGTGTATGATAGATAGCAGGGAGTTGGCCCGAGGGCAGGCAGCACTCAACACCAGAGAGCGAGGGGAGAGCGAGCGCCGCACAGAACAGCACTGGGGACGGGGTTAGATAAATATTCGGCTGCTGTTTACACTGCGTATTCACAATACAATGACATCAGTGCCCAGCTGTGCAAACCTGCCCCGCTCTCCCTAGCCCGCACAGCGACACCGCACAAACCCTCCTCCGCAGCTTCCTGCTCCCCTTTCGCCTCTTTTACTGTTTTCAATCCACGACTGTTTGTGGGGACGCTGCCGTGCTGTGCGCAATTGGCTGCCGCGTTTCGCCCACAAGTTAGACGGGCAATTCACTTTACAGTATATTCTGTGAAGCGCTCTGAGAGGTCTCGAAGACGTGATAAGGCGCTATAGCACGTGCAAGGATTATTATTGTATTATTATTCTCTCTCTTTCTCCTTCCCACTCCCCTCTTTATTCGTCTTTCTCTTACTCCTCAATATGTTGGATTGTAGTGGTTAGAGCACGGTGGGAGTGGGGGGTGGGGTGAAACAAGAGCACTTGGGCTTTGAGAAGCAGTTTTGTGTGTGACAGACAGCAGGGAGTTGGCCGGAGAGGACCCGGGTTTGATTCCCGAGAGGGGCGAAGCATTAGACAAGTTGCCTTACTCCTGAACGCCTCTTTTTTTTTACCCAGCAGTAGGTAGGAATCCAGTTGCTTTCCAGGGGTAATAGTCCCTCCCCCCCGCCAAAAAAAAATGGTCACTCTTTGTGAGACAGTGCTGAATGCAATCGGTTGCGCATTTCTCCCACAAAGTATGCAGTCAATTCACTATACAGCATATTCCGTGAAGCGCTTTGAGACGTCTCAAAGATAAAGCGCTATATCAAATGCAAGGATTATTATAACGGAAAGGCAATACATAAATGTAATTTGCTGTTGTTATTATTATAATAATACTTGTATGACCAGCACAAGTTATTTTTCTTACTAAGCCTCCTAAGTATGGTTTATATATTTGCCTGTGTCTCTCTACCCAGCTGGGGGACACGGGTGTGTACACATGCATCGCGTCCACTGCCAGCGGAGAAGCCACGTGGAGTGCGTACATCGAAGTTCAAGGTAAACCCTCCTCAGCCATACATTCAGCCCTCACAGCCACACCCCCCCACCCCCACCACACCTTCCCCCACCATGTTTAAAGGGTTAAATTATGTGGACAGGTTGCATAACCTTGGCTGGTATTCCCTTGAGGTTAGAAGCTTGAGGGGTGGTCTAATTGAGGTGTTTAAAATAATAAAAGGGGTTCCATAGGGTAGATACAGAGAAACTTATTTCCTCTGATGTTTGGGGGAATCCAGAACAAGGGACATCATTTTCCAATTAGATCCTGGCCATTTTGGGAGTGAAATCAGGACAAGCAGTGGGAAGGTTTGCCAGACATCGCTCTCTATGTGGTTTTAGCTGGTTAGACTCCCAGCGGTTATCCACAAACCACTGGAGTCTGGGGACCCCAAGCCTTGGCTCTTGCCAACCTGCGCCTAATACTTTCTGGAATTAGGTAAAGCAGGATGTGTCACCCCAGGGAGAGAGAGTGCGGATTTCCATTCCATTCCAACAATCTATCTCCGGGATTTCCATGTGTAGGGTGGAATGCGTGGAATTCTCAGTTTGGTTTGGATACTCTTAAGCAACAGTGATGAGTTTCCGCCTGTGTCAAGACACCCGGCTGACCCCAAAATATTGTTATGGATTATCAGACCAACCTTGTCTCTGGTGTCTGTTTCTTCGGAAGCGGTTTAGGATGGGGGGGATTTACCCTTAATACTCCCCTGCGTCAACCCCCCACATACACACACACACACACCTCCTCTCTCCCCCGGGGGAAATTATGTCTCTTACTGTGAAAGAGGGGTTTTGAGCCCAACCCCGGATTCTGTTACTGAGCCCTGCGGACCCTTCTGTTAGTTGAGGTGAGGGAGGAGCGGGGGATGGCTTGGGGCTGGGGAGGAACAAACATTGCTATTAATTGAAACTTTATATTTTTCATTTTTCTCTGGAATGTGTGCACGTGTGAATCTGCCTACATGTCTTAACTGTGTGTGTGTGTGTGTGTTGGTGTGTGCATGTGTGTGTGCTGGTGTGGGTATGTGTATGCGTGTGTGGACGTATGCATCTGCCTACGTGTCTTAACTGTGTGCGCGTGTGTGTGTGTGTGCGTGCATGTGTGTGCATGTTTGTGTGGGTGTAACCGCACACCACAAATGGTGTGTTTGTGTGTGTGACTGTGTGTTTGTGTGTGTATGATGTGTGGGTGTGTGTATAATGTGTGTGTGTGTGTGGGTGTGTTTGGGGGTGTCTGTATGTGTGCGTATGGTGTATGATGTGTGTGTGTGTGTGTGTGTTACACTAACACTAGAGTTTGGAGTAGCGGCTCAGCCCCCCCGCCAGCCTGACCCGAATCTCATCCCAAGCGCTCCGTCCAAACCCAAAATCCCGGAGGTGAGCCGGAACACCGTCACTCTGACCTGGCAACCTAATCTGAGCGTGGGCGCCACCCCCATGTCCTACATCATCGAAGCTTTCAGGTGAGGTGCTCTCCTCTCTCAGGTAAATCACACTCTCCTCTCTCAGGTAAATCACACTCTCCTCTCTCAGGTCAGTCGCTCTCTCAGGTCAGTTGTTCTCTCAGGTGAGTCGCTGTCTCAGGTCAGTCGCTCTCTCAGGTGAGTCGAGCTGTCAGGTGAGTCGAGCTGTCAGGTGAGTCGGGCTCTCAGGTGAGTCGGGCTCTCAGGTGAGTCGGGTTCTCAGGTGGGTCGGGCTCTCTCAGGTGGGTCGGGCTCTCTCAGGTGGGTCGGGCTCTCTCAGGTGGGTCGGGCTCTCTCAGGTGGGTCGGGCTCTCTCAGGTGGGTCGGGCTCTCTCAGGTGGGTCGGGCTCTCTCAGGTGGGTCGGGCTCTCTCAGGTGGGTCGGGCTCTCTCAGGTGGGTCGGGCTCTCTCAGGTGGGTCGGGCTCTCAGGTGTAGGTCACTCCCTCTCTCTGTGTGTCTCTGGCAGTCACTCTCACTCCCTCTCTGTCTCTCTCTCTCTCTCTCTCTCAGCCTCTCATTTCCCCTCTCTCTCTCTCTCTCTCTCTCTGGCAGTCACTCGTCGGGGAGCAGTTGGCAGACAGTGGCTCAGAACGTGAAGACGGAAGCCTATTCAGTGAGAGGACTGAGGCCTAACGCTGTCTACCTGTTCCTGGTGCGGGCCGTCAATGCCTACGGCCTCAGTAACCCCAGCCCCATCTCCGACCCCGTCAAGACGCAGGGTGAGACGGGCGGGGACTGCGGGATGGGCACAGAGGGCAGTCTTTAGCACAGGGTGACCGTAATTTGTCAACCAAATCGTGGGCAGCTCGTGTACTCTCACCCAGCAGGCTCCGTGACCCCATCACTCCCACCCTCGCCCGACTCCACTGGCTCCCCATCCCCCAGAGGATCGAGTTCAAGATCCTCGTCCTCACTTTGAAGGCCATCCATGGCATTGCCCCCTCCTACCTCTCTGACCTGCTGACTCCCTACCAACCTGCCCGCCCCCTCCATTCATCAGGCTCCGGCCTGCTCCATGTCTCCCGCCCGACCCACCCTACCATCGGTGGCCGGGCTTTCAGCCTCTCTGCCCCCACTCTGGAACTCCATCCCACGGTCCCTTCGCCTCGCTTCCTGTAGCTCTGTGGTTAGAGCACTCGCTTTGCAAGCGAGAGACCTGAGTTCAATTCCAGGCAGAGGGCGAAACTTTGGGCAAGTTTCCTTACTCCACACGACTAATAATAATCCCTCCAAAATCCCCAAACAATAATAAATTGGTCATTTTCAATCTACGACTGTTTGTGGGACATTGCTGTGCGCAATTGGCTGCCGCGTTCGCCAAATATACAGTCAATTCACTCTACAGTGTGTTCTGTGAAGCGCTTTGGGACGTCCTCCCGACGTGAAAAGCGCTATATCAAATGCAAGGATTATTATTATTATTATTCCTCCCTCGCCTCCTTCAAGGCCGGTCTCAAGACCCTTCTCTCCGCCTTCCCTCACCCCCTACACCACCCCTCCCCATGCTCGGGCCCCGACATCTGACTGTTCAGCGCTTTGGGACGTCCTCCCGATGTGAAAGGCGCTCTATAAATGTAATTTTGTTGTTGTTGTGGGCACACAGACATATACACACACGGAGACACACACACACAGAAGTACATAGACACACGAGACACACACACTGCACACATACCTCATGCACACACACACACCGCATACACACACTGCGTACACATACACTGAGACACACAGACAGACATGTACATGAGACATACATACACTGCACACATACCTCATGCACACACACACACACACTGCATTCGCACACATACACACGCAGAGACACACAGACAGACATCTACATTCACACACGAGACACACACACACCAGATATACCTCATGCATACACACCACATACACACACACTGTAGACACACACACACCTCCCAAACACCGCACATACACACACACAGACACACCACACGCACACACCACACACACACACGCTTCAGGGACACACGGGAATTGGAGTCGTACCGTCATCCTAGCTTTAGGAGGGTTTCCAACACGGGAAGAGAGGAGCTGAGCAAAAGGGAGGGTTTTTTTGGGGGGTGGGGGGACGTGCGGAGGGCGGGAGCTCTCAATCCTAAGGATGGTGAGAGACGGGTGGGGGGACAGGAAGGTGTGAAGGTAACGTAGGTGGGCAGTGTGTGGATGAATGTGCGTAAGGGCAATGATAGAGTGGTTGAGGAGGGAGCTGAGGGAAGTGAGAGGGTTGGAGGCTGAACGGTCACTACAGAGTTGAAGGCTAGGAGCTGTGGGACAATGATTCCCAGTGCTGTTACCCTGACGTTGACCACCCACCCCCACCCCCACCCCTGCTCCTCCCCCTGGTCTAACGTCTCCCTGTCTGTCAGACTCGCCGCCCTCCGGCCCGGGTGTGGATCACCGGCAGCTGCAGAGAGAGCTGGGAGACGTGCTGCTCCACCTTCATAACCCCATCATTCTCTCCTCCTCCTCCATCCAGCTCCACTGGACGGTAAGTTCCCGGCTAACGACACTCAGGACACGCGAGGTTACCCAAAGCCGTAACTGTCCAGCGCCTCCGGACATCATTCCAATTTGTTGCTGTTGTACATTTCGGGAGGAAAAGTAAAGAGAACAAGTACATGTTGGATGGCGCAATATTAATAGCAGAGGAAGAGCAAAGGGGCCTGTGTATGGGGGTTAACGTACATATAATTGTACGTGTTGTACGTAAATACAGAGTCCAGCCTCGCAAGCCAGAGGACCCGGGTTCAATTCCATTTCGGGACGAAACCTTAGGCAGTAAGTAGGAACCCGGTTGTTAATCGATTGGCGGATCGCTTTTCCGGGGGTAATCATCCCTCCAAAAAAAAATTGATTGCTCAATCCACGACTGTTTGTGGGGATGCTGCTGTGTGCAGTTGGCTGCTGTGTTTCGCCCACAAAATACACAGTCCATTCACTTTACGGTATATTCTGTGAAGCGCTTTAGAGGCGTCTCAAAGATGTGATAAGGCGCTATATCAAACGCAAGGAGCATTATTATTATTATGGTGATGATGATGATGGTTGTGATGGTCACTAGCACTGTGTGCCCGGCAGGTTGACCAGCAGTCTCAGTATATCCAGGGTTACCGGGTACTGTACCGGCCCTCGTCACTGGACAGACGGGGGGACTCGGAATGGTCGGTGCTGGAGGTCAGGACCCCCACGGATCGCAGCGCTGTCCTGACCGCCCTGCGCAAGGGCATGGGCTACGAGGTCAAGGTTCGCCCCTTCTTCGATGAGTTCCAGGGCGCTGATAGTGAGGTGAAGATCGCGACCACATTGGAGGAAGGTGAGGTCAGGAGACGTCGTGGGCACTCCCATTTCCTTCTATCACACAGTCACTACACACCCCTCCCCGCCCCCCCGCCCCCACTCCTCCTCCCCCCTGGTTTACCCTTCCCTCCCCCTCCCCCCCCCACTCCCCTCCAGCTCTGCCCTGACCTTCTGGAACTCTATACCACAGTCCCTCTGCCTCATCCCCTCCCTTGCCTCCTTCAAGGCACGTCTCAAGACCCTCCTCTTTGATGGTGCCTTCAGTTAACCCCCCCCCCCCCCATCTCCAACCTCCCTGCTCTCCACCCTCCCAGATCCCAATCCCCAGCTCGGGTGAAGATCCCTGACCGTCCAGCTGTTCGGCACGTCCTCCCGACGTGAAATGCGCTGTACAAATGCATTATTATCAGCAGTGGATTGTGTGTGAGCGCGATCCGTTCGATGACCAATGTGAGAGCCGCTAATGTGGACCCTTTGCCCTCTGTCTGTATCTGTCTGTCTGTGTGTGTCTCTCTCTCTCTCTCTGTCTGTTTATCTGTCTGTGTGTCTCTCTGTCTGTCTGTCTCTCTGTCTCAGCACCGGACTCAGCCCCCGAGAGCGTCACTCTGAACGAAGGCAATGTGACGGGCGTGGTGGTGGTGACGTGGCTTCCGCCTCCAGACCACTCTCACAACGGGGGGCTCCTGGAGTACAGGGTAAGGCTGGGGAGAGCGGGGTATTGCCCCCGAGTGGGGGTGGGGGGTGGGTGGACGGTGAGAAACAGAGACACTGATGGCAGGGTTTGGGTTATTTGTTTGCGGAGTCCTGTAGCTTAGTGGTTAGTGCACTTGTCTCACAAGCGGGAAGACCTGGCTTCGATTTCTGGGCGAGGTGAAACCCTAAGGCAAGTTTCCTTACTCCACCCGTCTCTGTTTACCTCGCAGTATGTGGGAACACGGTTGTTTGTCGATTGGCAGATTGCTTTGCGGGTGTAATAGCCCCTTCAGAAAAATAATACTAATTTGGTCACTCAGTCCACGGATTGTGGGACACTGCTGTGCGTTCCACCCACAAAATATGCAGTCACTACACTTTACAGTATATTCTGAGAAGCGCTTTGAGACGTTTCAACCACGTGATAAGGCGCGACATCAAATGCAGAAATAATTAATATTATTACTATCTGTGGGGACACGGCCCCACCTGCTGGCCGAAGCTGGAAGCTGCAAGGTTTAAAGTCACGGATGTCTCCTCGGCTCCTCTCTCTCTCTCTCTCTCACTGTGTCTCCTGAGTGTCCGTCTGCCAGTAACCAGGGCTTTTATTTATTGGGAGGAATAGAGCTGCTGTGGGCGTTTAATAAGGAAGAATCAAGTGTTGATTGGTCAGTGATTGCTCACTGTGTGTCAGACTCGGGCTGTGTGACATTCACATTGTCAGGAACTACAATAGCATCTTGTGTGTGTAGGTGTGTCTATGCGTGTGTGGGTGTGTGAAAGCAGTGTGTCATAGAATCATAGAATTAGACAGCACAGAAGGAGGCCATTCAGTCCATCGTGTCTGTGCCAACTCTTTGAAAAGAGCTCTCCACCTCCCCCGCTCTCTCCCCATAGCCCTGCAAACTTGTCCTCCCCAAATAATTATCTACTCTCTTGAAAGTTGTTATCGAATCGGCTTCCAACACCCTTTCAGGTGATGCATTCCACATCCGAACAACTCGTTCTGTGAAAAAAAAGTTTCCTCACCTCCCCTCTGTTTCTTTTAACAACTGTGTCCTCTGGTTACCGACCACCCGCCAGTGGAAATAGTTTCTCTTTATTCATCGTATCAAATCCCCTCACAATTTTGAAAACTTCTATTAAGTCTCCTCTTAACCTTCTCTGCTCCAAGGAAAACAATCCTAGCTTCTCTAACCTCTCCTCATAACTGCAGTCGCTCATTCCTGGTATCCTGGTAAATCTCCTTTGTACCCTCTCTTGACATCCTTCCTAAAGTGTGGGGACCAGAACTGAACACAATATTCTAGCTGAGGCCTAACCAGTGTTTTATAAAGTTCATCATAACTTCCTGACTTTTGTATTCTATGCCCCTTCTTAAAAAGCCTAGTAATCCGTATGCATTTTTAACCGCTTTATCTACCTGTCCCGCCACCTTCAAAGATTTACTTATATGAACCCCAGGTCTCTCTGTTCCTTCACCCCCTTTAAGATTGTACCGTCAGTTTATATTGCCTCTCCTCATTCTTCCTCCCAAAATACATCACTTCGCATTTCTCCACATTAAATTTCATCTGCCACGTGTCTGCCCATTTTCCCAGTCTGTCTAAGTCCATTTGCAGTCTACTGCTATCCTCCTCACTGTTTACTACTTTTCCCAGCTTCGTATCATCTGCAGACTTGCAAATTGTACTCCCTGTACCCAAATCCAGATCATTTATACAGATCAAAAACAGCTGTGGTCCCAAAACTGAAACCAGGGGGACATCACTGCACACTGCCCTCCAGTCAGAAAAACAATCGTGTATGTGTATGTGAGCATGTGTGAGAGGGTGTGAGATCTTGTGTGTGTGTGTTTGCACATGCCTGGACGCGTACGTGTGAGTGAGCATGTGTGTGAGCGTGTGTATGTGTGCATGATTTTGTTATTGTGTGTGTGAGAGTTTGTGTGTGAGCACATGTGTGTGAGCCTGTGCGTGAGTATTAAGTGAAGCCAATTTAGTGCAATTCTTACAAAGATCCCAGCTAATTAATGACGGGATGAATTGAGGAATTCTGAACCACTTTAAATTAAACCGTCTTGTGGATGAGACGAGGGGGAAATTCAGGGTCGGACACCGATCACCAGGTAAGGTCAGGAATACTGGTTACAAGTCCAGAGAGCCATGGAGAGCGAACACCAGCACAGCCACGAAGGGGAGGGAGCAGGGAATGGGATTAAGGGTAGAGAGCTCCAGTGGGGGAGCGAGCACCAGCTCTGTGCAGTAATGTCTATGACTGTATGGCAATAAGATTTTGTATTGTGTTGATTGCTCCCCCGATTCATTGCAAATAGACAGCGCAGAGCCAAAGCAAACTGACAAGAAAGGCTGCCTTCTCTCAATGAGAATACAGACGGGATGCAGTGGAGACCTTGGCAACAGGTTCAAGGCTGCTTCAAGGCAAATGGGTGGGACAACTGAAATCATTTGGCTCATCTGTCGTCAGTGACTCAGAGACACTCATGAACACAGTGAATTCAGAGATATAGCGCTTAACCCCTTCAGCAAGCAATCTGCAAGTTATCTCCCAGCGCAGCGCTGTGGGGAGGGGGAGGGAGCACTGCATTATCAGAGACACGGTCCTTCAGACAAGACCTCAAACCGGGGCTTAACAGTAATTTCTATTACCATTAAATTCTCATCTCTCAACCTGCGGGCTATTCGAAAAGAGAAGAGAGTTTCTCTCTCCCAGTGTCCTGGTTGACAATCCCCCTGATAAAATGGACCACTTATTTTAAGGCTGTTTGTGGGACACTGCTGTGCACAAATCGGCTGCCGCGTTTCCCCCGTAAAATATACATTCTGTGTAATTTGTAAACTGCATTCAACACTTCTGTGATAGGACGCGATTCGGAGGCGAGAGAGGCACGTTGATACACTTCCAAAGCCCTTCCCATTCACTCTCACGGCACGCACTCCCACGGCACGCACTCCCACGGCACGCACTCCCACGGCACGCACTCCCACGGCACGCACTCCCACGGCACGCACTCCCACGGCACGCACTCCCACGGCACGCACTCCCACGGCACGCACTCTCACGGCACGCACTCCCACGGCACGCACCCCACGGCACGCACTCCCACGGCACGCACTCCCACGGCACACACTCCCACGGCACGCACTCCCACGGCATGCACTCTCACGGCACGCACTCCCACGGCACACACCCCACGGCACGCACTCACAATGGCCCAAAGCCCTCCCCGTTCAGTCCTCCCCTTCACCAGTGAGTTTAACCCTCTCCCTCCCGCCCCCTCCCCCCACCCACCGCCCTCCCCTCGATCTCGGAAAGGACTAACTTCTGGGCTCTTTGTCTTTCAGATCTGGTGCCTGGGGAACGAGAGCCGTTATCACGTGAACAGGACGGTGGACGGGCTGACGCACTCCGTGGTCATCTCCTCGCTGACCCCCGGCATCCGCTACAGCGTGGAGGTGGCGGCGAGCAACGGAGCAGGTCCCGGCGTCAGGAGCCAACCACAGTTCATCCAACTGGGTGAGCGTGTTTCACTGTCATCCCCTGACACCCCACACACCCAGCCTCTCACGGCTCCTCAAGGCCTGCTCGCCCTGGGGGCTGCCCGGAGCAACCTCCCTCCTGCGCCCAGAATGCACCTCTGCCTTTCAAGCCCCCACGTTGGGGCTTGGAACCACATAGTCTAAGCTGACACTCCAGTGCGGCGCTGTGGGGGTGGGTGGGGGGGTGTCCGTTGCATTGTTGGAGGTGCCGTTTTGTGTTAACTGTGAAGGCTGAGAGCAGAGTCTGAGGCGAGACCGAGGAGCTTGTATGTCAGCCTGGCTCAGTGGTGGTGCTCTCGCCTCTTGAGTCAGAAGGTTGTGGGTTCTCGCCCTCACGTCGGGACTTAGAACCACACAGCTGACACTCCCAGCAGTGCTGCTGGGTTGGGGGGGGGGTGTGTTCCATTGTCGGAGGTGCCGTCCTTCGGATGAGACGTTCAACCGAGGCCCCATCTGCCTTCTTCAGGCGGATGTTAAAGATCCCATGACGCTATTCAAAAAGAGAAGGGAGTTTCACTCTCCCGGTGTCCTGGCCGCCAACAATCCCCCAAATAAATTGGTCGCTCACTCCACGGCTGTCTGTGGGGACGCTGCTAGGTGCAAACTGGCTGCCGTACTTGCTCGCAAAGGCACACCGTCACTACGCTTTACGGTAAAATCCTGCACGGGGCTTTGAAAGTCGCCCTGCCAAATGTAAGGATTATTGTAAGGACCCTCTGTGGGTTGGGGCAGCGGAAGAGAGAGAGAGAGAGAGAACAACAATGGATTCCCTCCCTCTCTCCCTCCCTCCCTCCCACCCTCTCTCCCTCACTCCCTCCCTCCCTCCCTCGCTGGCTCTCAGTATTACTGCTTGTAATTGGCATCTTTCGGAAAGATCTATATTGACAATCAATGGTTTTCACAGCTACTCCCTGCCCATTACTGCCATTGTTCACAAAACCTATTTCTCTTCAAGAGCCATTAGAAAATAAACAGAGAGAGAGAGAAAGCCTTGAGCTCTCACATAGCCGTGGCCTTCAGCGCTCTTACAGATTTTACAGCCATGATTGTGGGAAATCTTCCAACGGGCTCTTCATTTGGAAGCAGTTTTTTTTTGTTTTTTTTCCCCTGCACTTTCTCAACAAGAAATCGGTTTGTGAACGAAACTGGTGCCCTCGCTTTTCAGTGTTAAGAATTCCCCCCCACAACACACACACACACACACACACAACAAACACAGTCAATTCAGTTTACAATATATCCTGTGAAGCACTTTGAGTCATCTAAATGACATGGTAAGGTGCTATATCAAAGCAAGGATTATTATTATTAATATTCGCTTCTTCCTTGGGCCATTCAGCCCCCACTTCACCCGCTGTACTGGTTTATTAATCCTTCGCTAAATCCTTTATCTCCCGATCCCTTATCCCTTCTGCTGAGAAATTTAACACCCTAGTCCCGTCTGTGCCTGTTCAGGTGGATGTTGAAGATCCCGTGGCGCTATTTGAAAAGAGAAGGGAGTTTCACTCTCCTGGTGTCCTGGCCGACAATCCTCCCAAATAAAGTAAAATTTACTTCACGGCTGTCTGCGGACGTTGCTGTGTGCAAATTGGCTGCTGCATTCGCCTGCAAAACGCACAGTCACCACACTTTACGGTAAATCCTGTGAAGCGCTTTGAGACACCTATCTGAGGTGAAAAGCACAGGATCAAATGGAAAGGAATATTGTTATTTATTCCGAATGATTCTCTGGCCTCCTCATTCTCAGCGTCTGTTTCAGAGAGAATGGGGGTAGAATGGGTAGCTGAACAACAGTTTAACGTCTCGATCGAAGGATGGAGTTTCCAACAGTGAGGCGCTCTCTCTACCCCAGCACTGCACCAGAACACCAGCCTGGACTGTGAGCTCAAATCATGGGGGTTCAACCCATAACCACCTGACCCAGAGTTGAGAGTGCAAGCGGCTGACACGACTGACTGACGGAATAGGCCTGATAATAATTAGTAATCCTTGCATTTTGATTTAGCGCCTTACCGCGTTGTTGAGACGTCTCAAAGCGCTTCACAGAATACGTTGTAAAGTGAATTGACTGTTTATTGTGTGGGCGAAACGCGGCAGCCAAATGCGCACAGCAGTGTCCCACAAACATTCGTGGATTGAGTGGCAACATGTTTTTTTTTTTTACTTATTATTTCCCCGGGAAGTGATCTGCCGATCGACTTAACAGCTGGGTTCCTGCTTACTGCTAGGTCAACAGAGGCGTGTGGAGTAAGGAAACTTGCCTAAGGTTTCGTCCCTGTCCCGCCCGGGAATTAAACCCGGTCCTCTCGCTCGTGAGGCGACTGCCCTAACCGCTAAACGACGGGACTCCAATCCCGTTTTCCGGTCCTTTTCCCTGTAACGGGAGCTGTGCTGGCGTCTGCGGAACCTCCCAGCTCCCGGGGTCAGGCTTTGTTTGAAACCTCACATCACGTCCAGTTACAGATGTGCCCTTTTAAAGCGATTTTGTGCAGCTGTTTGTGTCAGCTCTGCTTCCTGAGTCAGTAGCACTCTTGGCTCCCATCAGGAGGTCTTGGGTTCAAGCTCGTGTCTGGGGACTTTAAGCTCCACTGCTCCAGTGCTGGGGAACGCTCCCCCCCACTGGAGCTCTCTCCCCATCGTGTCTGTGTTGGTGCTCGCTCACCCACGTTTGCGAGGCGAGTGTACTAACCACAACACCTTGGGTCGCCGATGTATTGAAGCTCCGACCCAGCCACCCTGCATTGCTGGACTCAGTGTATCCTGTCCTCTCCTGTCTCTCTCCTCACAGATCCCTTCGGCAGGCTGACCCCCAAGATGTCCGAGGACCAGGTCAGCCTGTCCCAGCAGATCTCGGAGGTGGTGAAGCAGCCGGCCTTCATCGCCGGCATCGGGGCTGCCTGCTGGATCATCCTCATGGTCTTCAGTATCTGGCTGTACCGTCACCGCAAGAAACGTGCCGGGCTCAGCGCCAACTACGCCGGCATGAGGAAAGGTAAAGTGTGCTCCACCGTTCAACCCGGCCGTCTGTCTCTGTCTGTCCGCCTGACCTGGGAGTTTGGACGGACAGTATTAGAGGGAGCTTTACTGTGTCTCTAACCCTCTCCTGGGAGTGTGGCCTGACAGTATAGAGGGAGTTTTATAGAATCATAGAATATGGAATCATAGAAGGAGGCCATTCGGCCCATAGTGCCTTGACTGGTTCTTTGGAAGAGTTACCCAATCAATCCCACTCCCCTGCTCTTTCTCCAAACTCCTGCAAATTTTTCCTTTTCGCTTACCTATCTGATTCCCTTTTGAATGTTGTTATTGAATTGAATCTGTTTCCGCCACTGTTTCAGGCAGTGCGTTCCAGACCGTAACAACTCTCTGCGTTTAAAAAAAAAAACATTCTCCTTATCTCCCCTCTGGTTCTTTTGGCAATTATCTTAAATCTATGTGCCCTGGTTACTGAGCCACTGGCTAGTGAAAACAGTTCTCTGTCTCTAATCCTGACCTGGGAGTGTGGATGGACGGACAGTTTAGAGGGAACCTGTGCTCTCTCTAACCTGCGCATTGGCTGACCTGGTCTAGGAGGTTTAAGTAGTCAGTTTTGATGAGTGAAGCTTATGTGGAGGGAGTGTGTGAGACAGAGGGATGGTGGGATGGAGAGAGCGTGAGAGTCGGAGAGAGATGAGATGGAGGGAGTGTGTGAAGTAGAGGGATGGAGGAGTGTGTGAGGCAGAGGGATGGCGGAGTATGTGAGGCAGAGGGATGGGGGGAGTGTGTGAGGCAGAGGGATGGGGGGAGTGTGTGAGACAGAGGGATGGGGGGAGTGTTGAGGAAGGCTTCTGTTGCCAGTGTTAATGCTATTATTTCTGTGGTTGTCGTGTGAGGCATTGACATGAACACTAACACTCTGCCTTCTCCTGTCCTAATAACCTTCTCTTCTGTTTGTCTCTTCCAGTCCCCTCTTTCACATTCACACCAACAGGTAGATATTACTCTGTCCCTGTCTGCCTCCTCCCGCAACTTCCTACCTCTCTCTCTTTCTCTCACACACTCCATCTCTCTCTCTCTCTCTCTCTCTCTCTTTCTCCCCCCTTCTGTCTATTCTGTTTCTGTCTATGTGTTTGCATGTCTCTCTCTCTCTTTCTCTCTCTCTATCTCTGTGTATGTGTTTCTCTCTCTCTGTCTCTCTCTGTGCTGTCATTTTCAAAATGAAGTTGTTTAAATGTTTGTATAATGCTCTTAACATCTGGCCTCAGTCAGACCCCTGGTTTACACATTGATCTCCCGTCCAAATAGTAATCATAATAATCCTTGCATTTGATACAGCGCCTTATCACTTCGTCTCAAAGTACTTCAGAGAATATAACGTAAAGCATAGTGACTGTGTATTTGTAGGCAAATGTAGCAACCAGTTTACTCACAGCAGTGTCCCACAAAAAGCCATGGACTGAGTGACAAATTTTATTTGGGGGATTGTTAACCGGGACAACGGGAGAGAGAGAACATCCCTTCTCTTTTCGAACAGTGCCCCGGGATCTTTAACGTCCACCTGAACAGAGTGCTGCTGTCACTGACCCGGGAGTGTGGACAGACAGCGAAGTTTTAACGTCTCATCTGAAGGAAGCTGACACGCCCAACGAACGCTGAGGTCACTTCTGTGCCTGTTCTGGTGGGACGTTAACGATCCCGTGGGGCTATTCAAAAAGAGAAGGGAGTTTCTCTCTCCCGTGGTCCTGGCCAACAATCCCTCAAAATAAAATGCGGTCCATGGCTGTTTGTGGGACGCTGCTGTGTACAATTGGCTGCCACGTTTGCCTAAAAAACGCACAGTCAGTCCGCTTTTACATTATATCCTGTGAATTGCTTTGAGACGTCTCAACGACGTGATAAGGCGTGATCCCAAACGCAAGGATTATTATTATAGTTATCTGTTTTTTTTTCCTGAAACCGTCTGTGAAATCTGTGGAGTTGGCATTCTGCGCTGGAAAAACCTGTGATAACACGATCCTCTGTGTTTGTTTACAGTCACGTACCAGCGAGGCGGGGAGACAGTCAGCAGCGGGGGCAGGTGAGTGAGAGCCAGGCTTCACTGAATGATGATGGATACGCGGAAGTGGTGGGAGGTGGGGGGGGGCTGGAGGGAGGAATTGTGGATTGCAAATTCCCACCGACCTCAGCCTGTCACACCACTTTGCCTCCGAAGTGGTGGTTTGGATACTGTTAAGTACCGTGATGGGTTTCTACATGAGTCAGACACCCGGCTGACCCCAAAATAAACTGACCACAAAGATCCTTGAAAAAAACACCTGCTTGCTTTGCTTAAGTACATACAGAGCATAAGAATTTGCTAGACGAAAGAAGTCCAAGGTGCATCCAGTTCACCGTCCACCATCCTGGCAGTTGCATGCGCATGTCATGTCCCAAGCTGTATACTGTATCCCGAGATATTATTTCCTAACAGAGATGTGTGTAATTAGTTGCTTTGCTCTGGCTAGGCCTGGCTTACTGAACATTGGAGACTCAAACACACAGCCTTGGCTGGCAGACACCTGGCCCAACACAGGCAACAACCACAACGACTGTAGCATTAACTGCTGCACCTCAACCGCAGGCAACAGTGACAGCAACCTCACCACTTACAGCAGGCCAGGTAAGGCAGCCCGCAAGCAACAACAACAACAAGATTACATTTGTATAGCGCCTTTCACTTCGGGAGGACTTCCCAAGGCGCAAGCAACCCCATTCTCTCTCTGTGATCAGGGCCTCCCTCTCTCTGCCTCCTCTATCCCTCTACTGCAACGTGTCGCTTAGCACACTCGCCTCGCAAGCGAGAGGATCGGAGCGATACCCTAGGCAAGTTTCCTTCTCCGCACACCTCCGTTTACCTAGCAGTAAGTAGGAAGATGGCGGATCTCTTTCCGGGGGGGCAATAATCCCTTCCAAAAAAAAAAATAATAATAATTTGGTTACTCAATGACGTGATAATCAAATTACATCAAATTAAAGGATTATTATTCTATTTTACCTCTGTGACCTGGTAACTCCACACCGACTTGTCCGCTCCCTCTGCTCAGCGGGCTCCGGCCTGCTCCACGACCCCCTCTCTGCCCTCCCCAACATCGGCAGTCGGGCCTTCAGCCTCTCTGTCCCCATCCTTTGGATCTCCATCCCATAGTCCCTCTGCCTCACCCCTTCCCTTGCCTCCTTCAAGGCCTATATGAAGACCTCCTCTATCTACCACGCCTTTGTTTGGTCGCCCCCCCACCCCACCCCCTTTCTGCCCTCCACCCTCCTGATCCCAACCCCATTGCCTTGTTCGGTCCAGAGCCTTGGGATGCCCTCCCGATGTGAAAGACGCTGTGTAAATGTAATGTGTTGTTGTTGTTGTTGTGTCACAGCTGACTGCATCGCCAACTACAATAACCAGCTGGAGAACAAGCAGACGAACCTGCTGCTGCCGGAGACTGCAGTGTACGGGGACGTGGGGCTGAGCAACAAAATCAACGAGATGAAGACCTTCAACAGCCCCAACCTGAAGGAGGGTCGGGGCCCGGGCTCGGGCGCCCAGCCCACCCCCTACGCCACCACTCAGCTGATCCAGACCACCCTGGGCAACAACATCAACAGCAGCGGGGTCGAGCTGAACGAGAAGCACTGGAAGCCCTCCCTGCAGGGGAAGCACGAGGTCTCCTCAGTGCAGTACAACATCATGGAGCAGAACAAGCTCAACAAAGGTGCGGCTCAAGACATACCTGTCTGCTTGTCTGTCTTGTCTGTCTGTCCGTTTACTGTTAAGCACCGCTGCCCCACATTAAGGGTGCAATATAAATTCAAGGTGTAATAATAATAAGAATAAGAATACTTGCATTTGAAAACAGCCCCTTATCACGTTGTTGAGACATCTCAAAGCGCTTTTCACAGGAATTACTGTGAAGTGTAGCAACTGTGTATTTTCTGGGTGAAAACACTGCAACCAGTTGCGCACAGCAATGTCCCACAAACAGCCACGGAGTGAGTAATCGGTGTTATCTGGGGGGATTGTTGGGCCGGGACACCAGGAGAGAGAAACTCCCTTCTCCTTAGGAAATGCGCCGCAAGATCTCTAACGTCCAACTGAAATGGCAGACGGGAACTCGGTTTAACATCTCATCAGAAGGACGGCACCTCCGACAATGCAACCCCCCGCCCCCAGCGCTGCATTGGAGCGTCAGCTTAGACTAAGTGATTCCGAGTCCCGACTTGGGGGCCTGAACCCACAACCTTCTGACTCAGAGGCAAGAGCGCTACCACTGATCCAGGCAGAGATAATGTCCCCTTGTGTTGGAATGGAATGCGCACCTTTCCCAGAATGACCTAATGGCGGGGCGTATTAGACACGGGCTGGCGGATGCCAAAGGGAGAGTGCGCGGTGGCCGTGAGTGTGACTCTGTCTCTCTCTCTTTTTCAGACCTGCGGTTGGCTGAGAGCAGCACTATCCCCACCATCCCCTACAACCAGGGCAGTGACCACAACACCGCCGGCTCCTATAACAGCTCCGACAGAGGCAGCAGCACCTCCGGCAAGTCACCCACACCCCGATTAACCCCTCGCTCTCTGTGTGATTAAACTCAATGTGATGAGTGTGACACTGAACGCAACTGTGCTACCATTGCTGGGAGAGAGAGACACACATAGACAGAGAGCGAGAGACAGAGGACAAGAGAAATAGAGACAAGAGAGATAGACGCTGGGACAGAGAGAGAGATGTACAGAAATACAGAGAGCAAGAGACAGAGATATATATGCAGAGAGCGCAGAAGACAGAGAGAAAGACCCAGACACACACACACACACTCTGGGACAGAGAGATACACACAAAGTTGCTGGTAAGGCCTCAGCTGGAGTATTGTGTCCAATTCTGGGCACCATAATTTAGGAAGGATGCCAGGGCCTTGGAGAGGATGCAGAGAAGATCTACAAGAATTATACCAGAGATAAGGGACAACAATTATGTGGAGAGACTAGAGAGGCTGAGATAATTCTCCTTAGAGCAGAGAAGGTTGAGGGGTAAATTAATTATGAGGGGGTTTGATAGATAGGGAAAAACTGTTTCCTCTTGGCGGGTGGGTCGGTAAGCAGAGAACACAGATTTAAGATAATTGGCAAAAGAACCAGAGAGTTGTTATGGTCTAGAATGCACTGCCTCATTCGATAATAACTTTCACATGAGAATTGGACAGATACTTAAAAAGCAAAACTTTGCAGGGCAATGGGGTAAGAGCGGGGTAGTGGGACTAGTTGGTAGCTCTTTTAAAGTGCTGTCACAGGCACATTGGGCCGAATGGCCTCCTTCTGTGCTGTAAAATTCTATGTGAGGCAGACAGAGAGCAAGAGAGACAGAGCGAGAGAGAGAGACTCGGAAAGAGATAGAGAGGGAGAGAGAGAGGGGGAGAATTTCAGAGAGACAGAGATCAGATGTAGAGATGGTGTAGAGACGGAAGATCCTGTAGATGAGGTGCGCAGTGTTCAAACACCAAATGGTCTGTGGAGTGTGACAACTCACCCGTCACCGAGCTTGTTAAAGGCTCAACACACGGAGGAGTGGTTATATCACGTGGTTGATGAGGTGCAGAAAGGGGCCCAATCACATTTCCACATGCGCCGCGAGTGATCACAGATGACAATGAGCACACGCACTCGCAACGCACACGCAAGGGAACGGAGATCGGCAGAGGCCTGATGACCCAACCCACGCCTGTGCTCATGCCATTCTCCGTGCCCAATCCCAACATGCCAAACACGCTACTGCCATGGCACCGTGTAACACGTAGTGAGAGGACACAGTGTCTCACATAGAATAAGTGAGTTGTTGTCGGTGTTTAGGGATGGTCACTGTGTGTGAGAGACGCTGTGTAAGTGTGAGTGTTTGCAGGCTGGGTGTCTAGGTTGATTTGAGGTGTGTGTGTAGTGGGGTTCACTGTCTAACGTGGCTCGGTTGGTTGGTTGCTCCTGCAGGGAGTCAAGGTCACAAGAAGTCAGCCCGAACCCCAAAAATGCCCAAACAGGGGAGCATGAACTGGGCTGATCTCCTGCCACCACCCCCCATCCACCCTCCGCCTGGGACCACCCACTCCGAGGACTACGGCCTAATCACTGACTTGAGGTGAGTTACAATCTCTCCACAGCGCTAATTCTCTAATTGTGACGATTTCTAGTCCGGTTCCGGCGCCAGGAAGGTCTACAGTATTCCAGGGCATTCACTGCTAATGACCAGCCCAGCTCATCGGCAGGACTTGGAGGGGCTGACCAGCCACTGGGGCAGGGAATCCTATCACTTTGCTCCAGTTAACCCTGCAAGCCAAAGCCCTAACAGGTTGGGTGGTCCTAGCTGGACAAGCAGCGGGAAAGCTTGCCAGACAGTGCGCTCAATGACAGTGCGGTTCAAGGGTTTTAGCTGGTTAGACTCCAGCAGTCACCCCATCGCACATTCTGGGGTCCCCAAACCTTGTCTCTTGCCAACCTATGCCTAATACTTTCTGGAATTAGGTAAGCAGGAGGTCTCCCTCCAGGGAGCGAGTGTGAAATTCTGTTCCAACAATCTATCCCTGTGTAGGTGGAAGGTATGGAATTCTCAGTTTGGTTTAGAGACTTTTAAGCATGGTGATGGGTTTCCGCATGTGTCAGACACCCGGCTGACCAAAACAAATTCTGTGGGGGAGTCCCAGGAAGTCACCAGCCAGCTCCCGCTCTCGCTTCCCCCTCTGGGTCAGGAGGTTATGGGTTCGAGCCCCACGTTGGGGACTCTGAGCTCACAGTCCAGGCTGATGCTCCAGTGCAGCTCTGGGGGGAGAGAGAGCGCCGCATTGTCAGAGACGCCGTCCTTCGGATGAGGATTTAAACCGAGATCCCGTCTGTACCTGTTAAAGATCCCGCGGAGCTGTTGGAAAAGAGGAAGGAGTTTCTCTCTCTCGGTGTCCTGGCTAACAATCCCCCAAATAAAATTGGTCACTCACTCCACGACTGTTTGTGGGACACTGCTGTGGGCAATTGTGCTGCTGCGTTTGCCTACAAAACACACAACAACAACAAAATTATATTTGTAAGCACCTTTCACGTTGGGAGGACGTCCCAAGGCTCTGAACAGTCGGGGATCAGGACTCGAGCTTGAGGGGGGGGGGGGGGTGCTGGGTTGTGATGAGGAAGGGCAGATGGGGCGGTAGGAGGGCGGCACAGTCGAAGAGGAGGGTCTTGAGTCGTGCCTTGAAGGAGGCATGGGAGGGAGCATGGCACAATCACTACACTTGACAGTAAATCCTGAGAAGCGCTTTGAGACGTCCTTCTGATGTGATATGGTGCTATATCAAATGCAAGGATTATTATTTTTATTGTGCTGTACAAGCCCGGCAGGGGCAATATGGACCCCACTCACTGTTTATGTGGCTCTGGCCTCTCTCTCTCTCTCTCTCTCTCCCCCGCACACGCTGGCCCGGGGCTGGTGGTTTGATCAGGAAGGAACAGGCTGGATTCCGTTCTGGTCAGGAATGTGTAGGGGGACAGGTTGTGGCTCTGTAGGAGATCCTAGAACTTTGTAACGCTCAGGGAAAACCCACCTACATTGTGTTGATAGAAACAGGGGTAGGCCATTCAGCCTCTCGAGCCATTCTAGAAGATCATGGTTGATCTGTACCTCAACTCCAATGACCCGCCCTTGCCTGAATAACCTTACCTAACAAATATAATAATCCTTGCAATGGATAGAGTGCCTTATTACATCGTTGAGACGTCTCAAAGCGCTTCACAGAATGTACTATAAAGTGTTGTGTAGTATTTTTGTGGGGAAAAACGTCCCAGCCAATTGCGCACAGCAGCATCCAACAAACAGTAGTGGATTGAGTGACCACATTAATTTCTTTTTTGCGAGGGATTATTAGCCCTGGAAATCAATCCGTCATTCGACCAACAACCGGGTTCCTAACTCACCGCTAGGTAAACAGCGGCGTGTGGAGTAAGATAACCTGCCTACGGTTTTGCCCCGGCCGGGAATCGAACCCGGGTCCTCTTGCTTGTGAGGCGAGTCAGCTAACCACCACGCTACAGAACTCCACCCAATCCTGTGTCTCTGTGGTTCTTTGTCTGCAGTTACGAGCGAATGGAGCTGTGCCCTCTGCCCCCGGCTCGCATGTACCTGGAGCCGGACGGGCTGGAGGAAGATGATGAGGAGGAGGAGGAGGAGGAGGACGATGAAGATGAGCGGGGGCCAACGCCACCTATCCGCGGGGCAGCGTCCTCGCCAGCGGCCGTGTCCTACAGTCACCAGTCCACGGCCACCCTCACCCCCTCCCCACAGGAGGAGCTCATTCCTATGTTACTCGACAGTACTGAGGAGCCCCCACCTCACACACAGCCCGCCAGCGATCGCAGGTCAGACGCCACACACCCCAACCCTCCCTCTGCCCCTTTCTCTCCCCCACCCCACACACACGCGCGCGCGCGAGCACACACACACATCCCCGCGCACGCGCACACACAGCCCACCAGTGACCACAGGTCAGTGAACACTGCTCCCACCCCTCCCTCTAGCCCCCCCACCTCTGTCTATCTGTCCCTGTCTCTCTCTGTCTATAGTGACTCTCTCTCACCCTCTCTCTAGCTCTGTTTCTGTGTCTCGCGTCCTCTCTCTCTGTCTGTCACTCTGTTTACAGTAACTCTCTGCCTCTTTTTCTGTCTCAGTAACTCACTTTGCCCGCAAAATACACAGTCAATTCACTTTGCAATATATCCTGTGATGCTCTTTGAGGTGTTCCGACAATGTGATGAGGTGCTATTATCAAATGCAAGGATTATATTATTATTATAACTTTGTCTACGTGTCTGTGTGTGTCTCTCTCATTCTCTCTCTCTAGCTCTCTGTCTCTCAGAAGCTCTCTCTCTCCGTCAGTCCCTCTGTCTTTCTCAGTCTCTCTCAGTCTCTGTCTGTCTTTGAGTAACTCTCTCTTAGTCTCCCTCAGTCTCTCTTCTCTCTCAGTCTCAGTCTCTCTGTCTCTCAGTAACTCTCTTTCAGTCTCTTTCACACTTAATTCTCTTTCAGTCTTTCTCTCTCACACTTAACTCTATTTTAGTGTCTCTCACACTTAACTATTTTAGTCTCTCTCTCTTACATTTAACTCTCTTTCAATCTCTCTCTCTCACACTTAACTCTCTTTTAGTTGCTCTCTCGCACACTTAACTCTCTCTTTCTCTCTCTCTGTGTTTTCCAGGAGGAACCCAGTCAGCCCCCCGCCTCCCCCGCGACCGATCTCCCCCCCGCACACGTACGGTTACATCTCGGGGCCTCTGGTGTCAGACATGGACACAGACGCTCCCGAGGAGGAGGGTGACGGTGAAGGGGAGGGGGGGGAGGGGGATCTGGACCTGGATCTGGAGGTGGCTCGGGTGCAGGCGGGGGTTCGGCTGCGGTTGCCGGGGCTGGAGCGGACCCCGGCCTCCAGCCTGGGAGACCTGGAGAGTTCCCTGACCGGCTCCATGATCAATGGCTGGGGCTCGGCCTCCGAGGACAACCCCTCGTCCAGCGGCCGCTCCAGCGCTGACAGCTCCTCCGACGGCTCCTTCTTCACGGACGCAGACTTCGCCCAGGCCGTGGCAGCCGCCGCTGAGTACGCTGGCCTGAAGGTCACACGGCACCGCGGCCATGAGGGTGAGACGCGTGGAAACACGAGCACAGTCTGTCTCGCTCTCTGTCTCAGTGACTCGGTCTCGGTCTCTCTCTCTATCTCTCTCCCTCTATCTTCCGCTCTCTCTTTCTTTCTCTCTCTCTCTCCAGGCCCGCGGATACACGGGCACGCGGGCACAGAGCGGATACATGGACACAGCAGATACGTGGGCACAGAACGGATACACGGACACGGCAGATACATACATAAGAACATAAGAATTAGGAGCAGGAGTAGGCCATTCGGCCCCTCAAGCCTGCCCTGCCATTCAATAAGATCATGGCTGGTCTTCTGACCTAACTCTGATTACCTTCTAAACTAACTCCATCTGCTCACCTTATCTCCATATCCCCTAATCCCTCTATTTTTAAAAATCTATCAGTCTCAGCCTTGAAGATGTTCAAGGACTGAGCATCTACAGCCTTCTGGGGTAGTGAATTCCATAAATTCACTACCCTCTGAGTGAAGAAATGTTTCCTCAACTCTGTTCTAAAAGGCTGACCCTTAATTTTAAGACTGTGACCCCTGGTTATAGATTCTCCTACCAGGGGAAACAGTCCCTCAGTGTCTACTTTATCCAGCCCTTTAAGAATCTTATATGTTTCAATAAGATCTCCCCTAATTCTTCTGTACTCTAGAGAATATAGCCCTAGTTTATTCAGCCTATCCTCATAGGTCAGTCCCCTCATCCCAGGAACTAACCGAGTGAATCTACGCTGCACCCCCTCTAGGGCAAGTATGTCCTTTTTTAAATAAGGAGACCAAAACTGCACACAATACTCTAGGTGCGGTCTCACCAAGGCCCTATACAGTTGCAGCAAGACTTCCCTACTCTTGTACTCTAAACCTTTTGCAATGAACGCTAACATGCCGTTCGCCTTCTTAGTTGCTTGCTGCACCTGCAAACTAACTTTTTGAGACTGGTGTACAAGGACACCCAAATCCCTCTGAACACTAACACTATCTAATCTCTTCCCCCCTAGAAAATAATCTGTTTTTCTATTTTTGCTACCTAGGTGAATAACTTCACACTTCCCCACATTAAATTCCGTCTGCCACCTACTCGCCCACTCCCCGAGCCTATCTATACCCCGTTGCAATCTTTTTGCATCATCCTCAGAGCTTACTCTCCCACCTAGTTTAGTGTCATCCGCGAATTTAGATACGTTACATTCAATGTCCTCGTCTAGATCATTGATGTAAATTGTAAATAGCTGAGGCCCAAGCACTGATCCTTGTGGCACTCCACTAGTCACATCCTGCCAATTCGAGAATGACCCGTTTATCCCTACTCTCTGTTTTCTACCCGTTAGCCACTCTTCAATCCATGCTAATATGTTCCCATTAATCCCGTGGGCCTTAACCTTGTGCAATAGCCTTTTGTGTGGCACTTTGTCAAATGCCTTTTTAAAATCTAAATATACTACATCTACTGGTTCCCCCCTATCTAACCTGCTAGATACATCTTCAAAAAACTCTAAAAGATTAGTTAAGCATGACTTCCCTTTTGTAAAGCCATGTTGACTCTGCCTAATCTTGTTATGGTCTTCCAGGAATCCCATAACAACATCCTTAATTAAGGACTCAAGAATTTTCCCTACCACTGATGTCAGACTAACTGGTCTATAGTTCCCCATCTTTTCTCTCCCACCCTTCTTAAATAGTGGTGTTACGTTTGCAATCTTCCAATCAATGGGAACCGTTCCAGAATCCAGAGAATTTTGGAAGATCAAAGACAAGCCATCCACTACCTCAGTAGCCACCTCTTTTAAAACCCTAGGATGTAGGCCATCAGGTCCAGGAGATTTATCAGGTTTAAGACTTGACAATTTACCTAAAATTATTAATTTCCCCAAGTTGCATTGTCTTCTTGGTTCCCCTCTATTCTTGGTAGGTTTTCAGTATCTTCTAAGGTGAAGACAGTAGCAAAGTACTTGTTTAATGACTCTGCCATGTCTTTGTCCCCTACTGTAATTCCCCCGTCTCTGCCTGTAACGGACCCACATTTACCTTTGACAGCCTCTTCCTCTTTATATATTTGTAAAAACTCTTGCAGTCTGTCTTTATGTTCCTCGCTAGTTTGCCCTCATATTCCATTTTCTCCCTCTTAATCACTTTTTTGGTTCTCCTTTGTTGATCCCTAAAGTTCTCCCAATCCTCGGGTTTACTACTCATCTTAGCTGTTTTATAGGCTTCTTCCTTTAACTTTATACTTTCCTTAACTGCTCTAGTTAGCCACGGTTGGGCCACCTTTCCTGTGGCATTCGTATTCCTCAAAGGAATATGTGCTCGCTGGGAATCTCCTTAAACGTCTGCCATTGCTGGTCTACTGTCAAATCCTTAAGTCTAATTTCCCAGTTTATTTTAGCTAAATCCTCTCTCATACCCGCAAAGTTGGCTCTACTTAAATTTAAGACCTTTGCTTTGGACTTAACTACTTCTCTCTCTAACTTAATGTTAAATTCCATCTTATTATGATCACTTTGCCCGAGAGGAGCCTTAAGTTCCAGTTTGCTGATCAGCCCTGCTTCGCGGGCACAGAGCAGATACACAGGCACGGAGCGGATACACAGACACAGAGTAGATACACGGGCACGGAGCGGATACACAGACACAGCGCGGATACGCAGGCACAGAGCGGATACACAGACACAGCACAGATACACACAGACACAGTGGGGATTCACAGACACAGAGCATGCAGAACACAGGCACACAGCGTGTGGATGCAAGTGAACACTGTGTGCGAATGCATGGGTACCCGCCATGCGGATATGCAGAAATACCCAAAGTGCGGATACACAGGCGTGCGGATATATGGACACTGGCACACAGCGTGGAGATACACGGGCACCCAGCGTAGAGATACACGGGCACCCAGCGTGGAGATACACGGGCACCCAGCGTGGAGATACACGGGCACACAGCATGGAGATACATGGGCACACGGCGTGGCGATACATGGGCGACGGCGTGATGTGGTGAGCGGTGTGAGGGGTGAGTGATGCGGGGCAGGGGGTGAGAGTGCAGAACGATGCTCTCCAATGCAATGCAGATTTGAGCTGACCCTCTCTCTCTCTCTCTCTCTCTCTGCCATCTCTACCATATGCAGGCCGGCGGCTCCAGGGCTCCTCTCAAGGTCCGCGACCGACCAGCCCCTTCTCCACCGACAGTAACGCCAGCGCCGCCGTCCTGCAGAAATGCCGACCCGGCAAGAAATCCAAACACCCCCCGGCTCACCTCCGCAGAGACCTCTTCACTGACGGTACATATGTCTGAGTGTCACCTGGATAGCCACACACTGGGGATCCGTGTATCCACACACTGGGGGTCTATCGTACCTCACTCCCACATTCTCCACTGCCCGCACTGTACGCACTACCCACACTGTACGTACTGCCCACTCTACCCACTGCCCACACTGTACCCACTGCCCACACTGTACACACTGCCCACACTGTACCCACTGCCCACACTGTACACACTGCCCACTGTACCCTCTACCCACCGTACACGCTCCCACTGTCCACGCTCCCACTGTACACATTCCCAATGGACCGGCCTGCCCCCCCCCCCACCCCAAACAGAGCGAGCTCTACCTCAGGAAATGTGGAGTGACTAGAGAAGCTGGGATTGTTCTCTTCAGAGCAGAGGAGGTTGAGGGGAGGTGTTCAAAATTATGAGGGGTTTTGATAGAGTAAATAGGGAGAAACTGTTTCCTCTGGCTGGAGGGTCGGTAACCAGGGGACACAGATTTAAGTTAATTGGCAAAGAAAACAGAGGCGAGACGAGAATTTTTTTACCCAGAGAGTTGTCACAGTCTGGAATTCATTGCCTGCAAAGGTGGTGGAAGCAGATTCGATAAAAAAGGATGAATTTGCAGGGCTGTGGGATAAGAGCTGGAGAGTGGGGCTGGTTGGTAGCTCTTTCAAAGAGCCGGCACAGGCACTGTGGGCCGAATGGCCTCCTTCGTTGCTTCTACAAAATCCTATGATGTGGAATTTCCTCCCTCTCCTTCCTCCGAGAAGGATTTTGGGGGAGATTGCGGGAGCAGACATGTCCCAGAGACTGGGAGCACACCAGGTTGCAGGATGAGATCAGACTGGCAGATCACCAGTGCCTCTGTGTGCGTGTGTGCCAGCCCCAGCCAGCTGCCGAGTGCCTCGCTTGCTGTTCACTGCAGCCCGCTCTCACAGTGCTGAAGAGAGGTGGCACTCCACATGTTAAGTAGGCGAGATAAGCACACAGGCTGGTTCCTCTTGCTTGCGAAGCATCGGGTGAGATAGTTAAGTGGTGAGAGATACCGGGGCAGAAGATGCTATGAATGGGGCCAGATAGCATCCGTCCAACTAATGTTTACTGTCAAACCCTGCTCTCCCCTCTCGCTCACTCAGTCCGTCTGTCTGTATCTTTCTCTCTCTCTCTCTGTATGTCTGTGCGGGTGTATGTCTGTTTCTCTGTCTTTGTTTGTGTGCATCTGTGTGTTTCTTTCTGTCGGTCTGTATGCGTGTGTGTGTCTCTGCTTCTGTGCCTCTGTCTGTGTGTGTGTCTGTCTCTTTCTCCCTTTGCCTCTCTATGTACGTATGTATGTGTGTGTGTGTGTCTCTATCTGTGCCTCTCTGTCTGTACGTGTACGTGTGTTTCTGTCTCTGTGCCTCTCTCCGTATGTGTGTGTGTGTCTCTCTGTCTATTTCTCTGTCTGTAATTGTGTGTGTCTCTGTCTCTCTCTCTGCCTGTGTCTCTGTATGTATGTGTCTATATGTCTCTCTGTCTCTCTCTGTATACGTGTGTGTGTCTCTCTGTCTCTCTCTGACTGTGTGTGTGTCTCTCTCTGTCTCTGTCTCTGTCTCTGTATGTATGTGTGTGTACATCTATGTCTCTGTATGTATGTATGTCTCTGTATGTATGTGTGTGTCTCTCTGTGTCTGTGTGTGTGTGTCCTTCTGTCTGTGTGTATGTGTGTGTGTGCGTAGTGTCTCTGAGTCTGTCTGTGCGTCTGTGTGACAGGCTGACAGTTGTGCCTCTCAGCCTGACAGACCGTGCGCTCAGTGTCTCAAAGCCATCATCAACAAATGGCACAACGCAGTTTGAACTTAGGATTTCTGCGCAATTTTTTTTACCGTCTTGGATTTTAAGAATAAGGAATTTCAGGAACTCTGATGCCTGTGTGTTTGTGTGTGTGAGTGCTTGTGTGTGTGTGTCTGCCCCGGAATGGAGAGGGGGAGGTAGAAAGGATGGAGGGAGGAGAGTGTCCGCAGTCGGCTGACCCTACCCTGAATTTTGAACCCTGAGTCCCAGGAGAGGAGAGTAAATGGATTCAATGGGTTTAATACAAAATTGCGACACTGCAGGCGTTTTAATTGAAGGCTTTTACAAGACATTAGCGGAATATTAGCATTGATCCTCAGGGGATCCGGAGTACTGCAAGCTCAGGCAATAGATTAGACTGACACAGAGAAAGAGAGATGTGGGGGAGGGAGAGACAGAAACAGCTAGACAGCGAGAGAGAGAGAGATATAGGGAGACACAGCGAGTGAGAGATGGGGGAAACAGAGAGATACACACACTGGCACAGATCAAGAGAGAGGGACAAAGGGACAGCGAGAGAGGGAGAGAAAAAGACAGAGAGACACACACATATATACACAGCAGGACCGAGAGAGACATACATACACGTACAGTGAAACAAAGAGAGACACAGAGAGAGAGAGAGAGAGATAGAGAGAGAGACAGCAAGACGCAGGGAGAGACAGAGAGTGATACGTACAGCGAGAGAGAGGGAAAGAGAGGTACACACAGACAGACTTAGTCAGAGAGAGAGACGATAAGAAAGAGAGACAGAGATGGAAGAGAGGGGGAGCCCCAGTACAGAGAGAACATAATAACCTTCTCAACAACATCACCACGCTCACTGTATTAATTCCCCTCACTGACCTCACGGGGGGATTATCAGTGGCTCTCACTGTTCCCCCCTCTCCCCCCCCCCTCCCCCCGGGATAGTGACTGAGAATCACCCAGCTCCTCACTCACTCCCCAAATTGGAAATTCCAGCTCGTCTCAGGGTGCGGGACCACTGACCAGCTGGATATTTTTGGATGATCAGGCACCGGGGGTAACGGCTCTGTGTTTGGCTCATCGGCAAGACCTGGAAGGGCAGACCAGTCACTGGGGGCAGGGAATCCTCCCACTCAGCTCCTGTTAGCCCAAAGCCCTAACAGGTAGGGTGGTCCTAGCTGGACAAGTAGCGGGAAAGCAGTGCTCTCTCTCCCAATGGCTAGCTATGTAGTTTTAGCTGGTTAAACTCCAGCAGTTACCACAACGCACACTCTGGGGTCCCCCAAAGCCTTGGCTCTTGCCAATCCGCACCTAATACTCTCCGGAATTAAGTAAGCAGGATGGGTCCCTCCAGGGGGAGAGAGAGAGAGAGAGAGAGAGAGCGCATTCCATTCCCACAATCTATCTCTGGGATTCCCGTGTGTAGGCGGGAGGCGTGGAATTCTCAGTTTGGTTTGGAGATACTTAAACACGGTGATGGGTTTCCGCCTGTGTCAGACCAAAAATAGAATTGCCTGATTTCCTGTTTGTGTTTGGTTGACAGAGCTGCCCCCTCCTCCCATCCCCCCGCCCGCCATCAAGTCTCCCACCCAGCAGCAGATGAGGCCTCAGCTGGAGGGACGGCCAGCGATGGGGTGCAAGCCCCCCTCGGAGCACAGAGAGAGGAGGGGAGGGGGCTTCCGAGCGCGGGAGGCTCCCGAGACACGCTTCCCCCCGGAGAGACAGAGCGAGCTGCACGGCGTCGGCAAACCACGCCTGGGCAAAGCCGGGAAACGGGAAAGCTCCCAGACCAGGGCTCAACTCCACCCAGGTACCAACCGATTAGCTAACTGCGATTAGCTAATTAACCGCCAACGAGCCCGATGTATTTAGCGTAGCGATTAGAGCGCTCGCCTCGCAAGCGAGAGGACCCGGGTTTGAATCCCGGGCCGGGGTGAAACCTTAGGCAAGTTTCCTTACTCCACACGCCTCTGTTTACCTGACAATAAGTAATAATAATAATAATAATAGTCGATTGGCAGATCGTTTTCCGGGTGTAATAATCCCTCAAAAAAAAGTTTCCAGTGCGAATTGATCCCAGGTACTAGCGGTAAGTAGGAATCCGGTTGTTAGTTGTTGGGTGGATCGCTTTCTGGGGATAATAATCCTTCTGAAAAATATAATAATAATTTGATCACTCAATCCATGACTGTTTGTGGGACACTGCTGTGCGCATTTGGCTGCCGCATTTTGCCCACAAAATATACAGTCAATTCACTCTACGATATGTTCCAGCAGCTTGGGACATCCTCCCAACAGAAAGGCATTATATTGATGTAATTTGTTGTTGCTATTATAATAATACATAATGTAATATATCCTGTGAGGTGCTTTGAAACGTCTTAACGATGTAATAAGGCGCTGTATCAAATACAAGGATTATTAATATTATAGATAAAATGGGACATTGTTGTGCGTAAATTGGCTGCTGCATTTCACCCACACAACGCACAGTCACTACATTCGAGCTGTGAAGGAGGATAAAGCTGTGTGTGTGTGTTTGTTGCTCCCCGCAGTCACGCAGGATGTTCTGCCCTACAGTCGTCCGACCTTCCCCTCCGCCCAGAGCCCGCGAGACCCCAGCTCCTCCAGCTCGCTGTCCTCACGGGGGTCCGGGGGCAGGCGGAGGGGGGAGCCGGGAGTGCCGGGGGGCAGCGGGGCAGTGAGGCGCACCCCGGGGGAGCCGGCCCTGCAGGCGATAGGAACATACGAGTGTGAGGAGGATCCGGAGGTAAGTCCTCGCCAGGCACCGCTTCCTCCCTATCACAGAGCGCATCGATTAGAAGGTCATCTCGCTCTATAAATCTCTTCAATCCCTGGCATCTAACTACGGTCCCTCCTCGCTTCCCCCGCGCCCCCTCCCCCTGACTTGGAGTCATTCCCCGCCACCGTCAAGCGCTCCGAGACCCTTAGGCTCGGAGCTCCCGCTCCTCCAAGGCAATATCTGTCCCACAAATGTCCCAAACTCAGTTCCCCTGAGCGCGGACAGGTTCTACCCCACTGTCTCGCTCAGCCTCACGTGGACGACGATATTAACCGTGTGATTCCAAACTGTCTCCCAGAGGAGTCGCAGTTCCCGTCTGATTCCGAGGCAGTCGGAATTATGGAGACCGAATCGGTCAGTGGGATATTTCATCCAATCCACACGACTTCGTAACCTCCTGCTTTGAACTACTCCCAATAACCCCTCCTCGCCGGTCTCTCCAGCTCCGCTCTCACAATCTGCAACTGATTCAGAGCTCCGCCGCCAGGATTCTCACCCACTTTAAACGCCACACCCCATGACGCCAGTCCTCGCCCGGCTCCACTATCTGATACAGAAAGGATCAATTTCAAGGTTCTCACGCTCGTCTGCAAATCCCTTCCCGCCCTGGCACCTCCCTAGCTCCGACCTGCTTACACCCCACTCCTCTAGACGGTGCATCCGCTCGGCTGGCTCCAGCCTCCTGCTCGAGCCTCGCCCCCACCGCTCCAGCGTTGGCAGGCATGCTTTCAGCCACTACGCCCCAAAACTCTGGAACTCTCCCCCTCAGTCCCTCCACCCCACCTCTTTCAGATCATGCCTGAAGACGTTCCTCTCCGACCATGCCTACGGTCACCTCCCCCTCCCCCTCGGCTCGGCGGTAATAAACAATTGGTCACTTACTCCCTTTATTGCCACTTTCCTGCGGTAATAATCCATCAAAAAAAAATAACAATAATAATAATTTGGTCACTCAATCCACGACTGTTTGTGGGACATTGCTGTGCGCAATTGGCTGCCGCCTTTCGCCCACAAAATACACAGTCACACCATTTTACAATCCATCCTGTGAAGCGCTTTTGAGACGTCTCGACAACGTGATAAGGCGCATTATCAAACGTAAGGATTATTATTATTATGTTTTTGTGTCCGTGCAGGAATTTGGGAGCTGAGGATTTGCCTCGATGTCAGCGGTGATCGAGAGCCTTTTGGGACAGCGTGGAAGGGAGTGAGAGAGGGGGAGAAAGAGAGAGAGAGAGACGTCTCACCCTCCCCGGATGCCTGGAAAGGATTGGGTACCACAGTTTGGTGCAATGAGTAAAAATTACAAAAAATGACGCTTTCTTTTTCGTTACACATTGAACAATCGTGTGTGGTTCTTTTCTAAACAAAAATAATTTTTGGTGGGGGTGGGGGGGGGGGAGAAGAAGGGAAAGGGGAAAGAGAGAGAGAGAGAGGGAGAGCGACAGAGGAGGGGAAGAGCAAGGAGGAGAGTGGAAGAATAAAGAAGCCCTACATTAAATGATTGGAACTCAACAATTAGAGTCTTGTGAAGGTTTAATCACCTCATTGCAATCCTTTTTATAACACAGTGGGTGGACGGGCGGGTGGGGGTGGGGGGGGGCCAGGGGGGGTATCAGACTGTAAATACCCAGAGCTATTTGTGCCCCATTTGGGGTATTGACGTTTAAGCCCCAAAGCTCCTGTAAATAGATCCCTTCGTCTCCGGGGAGGGGAGGGAGGGAGCATGTGGGCGGAACGCAGTAACCCTGTTTTTTATATATATTTTTTAATTTCTGGTCTTGTGAGATGCACTGTTTTTAATTTCCTTGTTTTGTCCTTCCTTTGGTTTCAAAAGCACAATCACTAAACTTTTATTTTTTAAACCATTTTTACGGTTATTGTTTATTAATCAGCGCTCCGCTGAGGAGCGAGACGCAGTTAGCTCGACGGCAATGTGGGGGTGGGGGGGGGGGCGGGGAGGGGGGGGTGGAGGGGAAACAGTCTCCGATGCTGCCAGTTTTTACCAGGTTTCTTGTGTTCGGGGGAGTGGGGGGGTGTGGATACTCGAGGGAGTGAGCGCAGAGAGACAGACATTAACAGACACACACACACCCACAACACGCATAATACACACACAATGCACAGGCACGCACACAACACAGACAACAGGGGTAGTGTCTTTCACGTCGGGAGGACGTTCCAAGGTGCTGACATAATACACATGCGCAATACACAGACACGGATACACGGACACACACAACAGAGACACATACAACACACAAACACAGAAGCACACGTTGACGTACATACCTATACACATACACACTATAGGTGTGTAACCATTGGGACACATAACGTGGTAATTTGCAGACACATTCACACACACACACACACACAGACACACACGTACAGACACATGTGAACACCCGTGGGTGGACACATACACAGACACTTGTGTGCACACACGGACACATAAACTGACACATCAGAAAGAAAAGGTAGTTTTTATAAACGAGTCACAAGCCCGAGGGGAGCTTGTATCCTGGCAGCCTGAGCGGGCACTCTTTACATCCGCCAGCGGGAAGCCCGTTCAGCCTCTGTCAAAAACAACTCCCCCAAAATCATCTTAATTTTTTTCTAGAACGTCCCAGTCGCTGGCCAGCACTGGTCAGACATGGAATATCTGAAGCGATCAGTTAGTGTGGGCGGGCTGGGGGAAGAGGGCAGATTTCGGGAGGTGTTAGACGGGGGAGAGTGGGATGAGGGTGGCGAGGGGGAGGGGGGTGGTTTCCCTGATTTACATTGCTCTTATATATTTTCTTCGCCCCCCCCCACAGGAGATGAGAATATAAGGGAATGATTGGGTAGAGTGTGACAGGATAGGGCGGGGGACTGGGAAGTGACAGTAACGGTTGCTGACTGCCTAATCCTGTGTGTGGTACTTTGTGTGACGTACATTTGTTGGACTGAGAGAGCCCTGACAACCCTCCCTCCACACGTGTAAACTTTTGCCACGTTATTTATTAAAGTGTCATCGAGATGACTGATCGTGAGAGCTTGTCTGGTGCTGGCTTTATCTTATCGTGTGTTTTTTTAACCTTACAAAAGTCAGGACTATTCCAATGCCCTCCTCCCTCCACAAGCCACAAAATCCACTTAATCCTAAACTCTGCCGCCCACATACTCACCCGCACTAAACTCTACACTGCCACCGCACAGGTCCTCGCCACGTTCCACCTGCGCCCGATCGCCGAACGGATCGATTTCAAGACCCTCTCACTCGTCTTTAAATCCCTTCACACCCTGGCACCTCCCAACATCTTACTCGCCTCCACTCGGCTCGCTCCGGTCTCCTGCTCTCTGCTACTACGTCCTGAAACTCTACGGGCTTTCCTTTTCGACCGTGCCTACGGTCACCTCCCAACGGCTCGACATCATCGAGAAGGCGTGAAAAGCGCTATATCAAATGCAAGGATTATTATTATTATCAGGCTCCATCAGGGGTCATTATTACCCATTAGCAGGGTCAGCACAGAGCTTGCCATTGAGCGAGCACGACTGAGGCCGTTAACCCTGCCCTGCCCTGTCCAAAACCCCCTAATGGGTAGGGTGGTCCTAGCTGGACAGCAGCGGGAAAAAAAACTTAAGAAACAGGAATAGGCTGTTCAGCCCCTCGAGCCTGTTCGTTCCTCCATTCTGTAAGGTCATGGCTGATCTGACTGAGCTCAACTCCACATATCCGCCCTTGCCCCGTATCCCTTGATACCCTGACCTAACAAACATATGTCCTCCTCAGCCTTGAAAAATGTGAATGGATTCAGCATCCACAGCCTTTTGGGGGAGAGAGTTCCAGATTTCCCTTTGGGTGAAAAACTACCTCCTGATTTCACTCCTAAATTGACTCTAATTTTGAGACAATGCACCGCATCACCCCCACCTCCTTCACCCTTGTTCTGGATTCCTTCACCAGAGCAAAATGTTTCTCTGTATCTACCCTGTCCAATCCCTTTTGCCATTTTAAACACCTCAACCAGGTCAAACCTCAACCTTCTAAACTCGAGGGAAAAGCTTGCAGCGAAGGTTTTGAAATAACACCGGGAAATGTTTCAAAATGGCGGCCTTGCCCTGCGCGGACCGCGGCCGGGAGACAGCAGACAACCGTCACTCTGCGATCAGACAATTGTGCAAGACGGGCGCGGACGCAACGGCTCTGGAGAGACACCTATCATTTGAGGATTGAGTCACAGACAGTGACAGGACCGGTTTCAACCAGGTGCGCGGTCGGTGGAAGGTGTGGTCGTGTGTGACCCGGGGCGCCTGGTGTTCTTTTTTTCCAGTCGCCTCGGAGCTCTTCAGATTGTTTCGATGGAATGCTTGCTCTCTCCCTCTCCCGGTTGTATTAGGCGCAGGTTGGCAAGAGCCAAGGCTCGGGGACCTCAGAGTGTGTGTTGGGTTAACCGGCTAAAGCTCTTTTCGCTTGCCATTGATATTCGCTGTCCGGCAAGCTTTCCCACTGCTTCAGCGCTCTGAGAATGCCATCCGGCGTGAAGGGCGCTATATAAATGCAAGCTGCAACCACCCTACGCACCAGCACTTTGGCTTGCAGGGTTAACAAGAGCTGAGTGGGAGGATTTCCTGCCCGCAGTGACTGGTTGGTGGAGAAATTTAGAACAGGAGACAATAATAATTCCCCTGGCTGTTCACCTGCCAGTGTCTCGGAGTGATTCACTGTAAGGTGCAGTCACTATGTGGTTTTGTGGTGAACCCAGCAGCCAATACACACACAGCGATGTCCCACACACAGCCATGGTGTGAGTGACCCAATTTATTCTGTGGGATTGTTGGGAAATAGCTCTGTGGAGCCTTCAACTTTAATCCGCCAGAGCAGACACAGACTTGGTTTAATGCCTCATCCGAAGGGATTAGAGTACAGGGAATGGGGTTAGAATAGAGAGCTCCAGTGGGGAAGCGAGCACCAGCACAGACACGATGGGGAGAGAGCAGGCGAATGGGATTCAAATGGAGAGTTGCCTCTACAGTATCTGTCCTCACTCCCAGCTCAGTGAGAGCGTGGTTAAGAGACAGAGTAAAACTCCCTCTACACTGTCTGTTCAGCAGGGAGTTCTGCTGTCAATTAATCAGTGTCTCAGTTTCAGGGAGGGAGAGACATCTAATTTCTATCATAAATTGAGGACGTGAGATTTGATTCTATCCATGTTTCCTCTTGAAAACCGAGCAAACCACAGTACAACAATAACAACATTTTGCATTTACACAGCGCCCTTCACACAGGGCAGCATCTCGGAGCACTTAAGATTGGCGAACCCTGACGCCGAGCCTGAGGGAAGGGAGGAGATGACCGTAACCAGGGTCGAAGAGGAAGGTCTTCAGGAGCGCTCTGAAAATGGGGAAGGAGGGGCCGAGGTGGAGGGATTGAGGGAGCGAGTTCCAAAACTTAGGGGTGTAGTGCACTGCCGCCGATGGTAGAGCGGAGGCCACGAGGGACAAGCAGGAAGCTGTAGCCAACCGAGCAGAGTACGCCATCAAGTCAGGAAGAAGGCTTTCCTCGGTACTTGGTTCGTCTGTGCCTGGTTTGGATGTTCGACTCCTACAAAGAGAAATTCCACTCACGTCTCAGATCGCCTCTATTTGTGGAGTGTCTCAGAGTGTCCCGAGTTTGGCAAATTGTCGAATTCAGCCTTCCCTTTGAAGCGAATTTTCTGCAAGTTCTTTAAAGAAACTTACAGAAAGCCGACATTGAGGTTAGAGGCTGGGTTTCAGACCTGGACAAATTCTGGGTCCTGCGAAACACTCCGTGAAAAAGGAAATCTCCACCCGGTGGGTTTCTGACTGAGCTTCACATCACAGGATGCCACCACTCTGCCCGTCGTACCTGGCCGGCTCGCTGGCAGAGCTCTCCGTTCAGTTCCATTCTCCTCTCCTCCCCCCACCCTCCCCACTCCCCCAGCCCCAGCACCCATTTCCCTCGATAATCCTCTCACAGGGTCTGTGACCAGTGGGTTTGTTCGACAGAGTCTTGTGGCGTCCCCTAGCATAGTGGTTAAGCACTCGCAAGCAAGAGGACCCAGGCTCGATTCCCGGCGGGGAGGGGGTGGGGGGCGAGGGGCCAAACCTTCGGCAAGTTCCCTTACTCCACACATCTCTGTTTAACTAGCAATAAGTAGAAACCCAATTCGTAGTCGATTAGCGGATCGCTTTATGGAGATACTAATCCCTTCCCCCCAAAAAATGTGGTCACTCAATCCACGACGGTTTGTGGCACACTGCCGTGCGCAATTGGCTGTCGCGTATCACCCACAAAATACACAGTCACTCCACTTTACAGTATATTCTGTGAAGCGCTTTGAGGGCGGTGGGGGGCAGAGAAGGCTGAAGGCCC